TTCGAATACTAATTGCATAATTTTGACCATTCGCGTTTTACTTATTTACATACGTATATACATATGTATATATTTATTCTAACGCAATTTATATTATGTGTAGTATATAGTAAATAACTGAATATAAACCTAATTATTTTTAGTTTACTGCTTGCCATCAATAAAAAAAGGAATAAAAAAAAGTAAAAAAATAAATAAAAATAAAATAAAATAAATTAAAAAAAATAAAATAACATTAAAAAAAAAGTTAAAAAATTTTGCTCTGGGACTCGAACCCGCGTCGATTCGATTGCTAACCAAGTGCTTTAACGGTCTGCGCCACGAGTACAGCTGGCCGGCAGCTGACAAGTTCTGGCATTGAACATTTTGGTGTGCCAGAGCATGTGAAAACAACTATTTCTATTTTTTAGAAAAACTTTCTACTTTTTAGGAAATGTTTCTATTATTTAGGGTTAGCTTAATTTTAGGGTTAGGGCACTCATTTTTAGAAAAGGTGTTGCCAATATATTTTATTATTTTCGTTTGCCTTTCTATTTTTCAGAAAATAATTTCTAATTTTAAGGGCATTTTTTCTAGATTTTAGGGTGATATTAGTTCATGGTAACCATTTTCTACATTTAAGAAAAACTTCCTGGATTTAAGGAAAACTTTCTTGACTTAAGAAAAATTTCCTTAGATTTAGAAATAACTTTCTTGTATTTAGAAAAAAGAAATTTTAATGGCGATTTTCTAAAATTTAGGGTTAAATTTATTTTGAGTGTAGTACCAATATCTGGCGGTAGATGGCGCAATACAATATACACTAGCGCCATCTAGAAAATGGCATTGGAAAAAATCTGCCTTTTTTTCTGTGGTCACTCTAATTCACATTATGTTAATGCAAATTTTAAATTATTTGAAATGGGGAGCTCATTTTGTCTCTTTTTGCTCGTATACGTTTTTCACAAGTGTATTCGCCTGCGCTAGAGAGAGACGGAAGATGTGCTAGGCAGAATTGAAAGTTCCAGAAAGCCTCTTCTAGAAAGAGATCCCTGGGTAAAAATCGAGCGGCGAAAAACTTATAAGAAGCCATATTTCTATTAAGTTGTTTAGCTGAGTAACGGGTATCTAATAGTCGAGGCACTCGACTATAGCGTTCTCTCTTGTTTTAATTTCCTCCATGGAAGAAAATAAAAAATTACTACAAATTCTGTAAGAAAAGCCACAATGTTTCGAAGTTAATTATTAATCTTAAGATTATCTTAATCTAAAGAATACGTATGAACATACAGTGGCTCACAGCTTATTTCGTGCAGAGGTAAACTTAAAATTCAAACTCGTATAGCTAACAAACTATACGATAACACAGGAGAACAAAATTAAACTTTTATGAAATTTTCACGAACCATTTCAAGTTTTCCATGATGTTTGGGTGCTCCTGAGTAAAAGTCCCATACAAAATTATTTTCCATCACCTACAGGTTCCGCGGTATAGCTAAGAATACAAAAAACCGATGTTTGCCGACATTTTGAATTACGTGGCCTATATAATTGGACTAACTTTTATTATTTTCGGTAGGACCTACCCTCAATACATCACGGCACTACTAAAAAATAGTCCCCATCGTAAACCATTGTCTATGTCTTTGGAATTCGACGCCAAAGTTGAAACTCCCAAAATTTTCACAATTTCTGTGATGAAAAAACAATTCTGAGAATTAAATCTTAAATGGAACTAATTTTAAATATTCATTGAATCTATTTTTTATGGTATTCTTTAATTTCGGTTTAAAGCGATTTCATAAGGATATTTTTTATTGGATTTATTATACTAATACTAATAATACTAATAATTCATTATCTGCTCCTAAATGTTGTCAAATTTTAAATAAGTCAAGGCATCCTACAGAATGGGAGTAAACATATACATTCTTCTATGTATGTTCAGTGAACGTATTTATTTTCTTAGTTCTAGAGGTTGCCAAGACTTATTCAAAATTTGACAACATTTAGGAGTAGATAATGAAATCAAAAAATCGGTTTTATTAGTATTAGAAATCCAATAAAATGTCCTCATGAAAACGCTTTAAACCGAAATTAAAGCATACGAACAATATATACAATGAATAGGAAAAATTAGTTCCATTCAAGATTTAATCCTCAGAATTGTTTTTCCATCAGAAAAATCTCTACAATTTTGGGATTTTTAACTTTGGCGTCGAAATCCAAAGACATGGACAATGGTTCACAATGGGGACTATTTCTTAGGAATGCAGTGATGTAGTGAGAGTAGATTTCAGCAAAAATATTTAAAGTAAGTAAAATTATATCGGCCACATAATTCGAACTTTCGGCAAACATCGGATTTTTGTATTCTTAGCTATACAGCGGAACCTGTAGGTTATGGGACATAAGTTTGTATGGGACTTTTACTCAGGAGCACCCAATTATCATGGAAAACTAGAAATGGTTCGCGGAAATGTTTGGTACCTGTGTAATTTATCAAAATTTAAATGAAGTTATGTTAGGTAGTATTCTGGCCCTTATTGACCCACTTCTTTATTTTTAGATTCCATAGAATAACACTTAAAATTATTTCGTGCAAAACTTTAAAATTATTATTATTTGTAAATTATGGCTAAAAATGTGTTTTTTTTAATTTCTACATTAAAGCGCCTATTATTAACCATTTTTTTTAATTTTAATTATGTCAAATACACTAAAAAAAAGTTACATGCAAAAAAAAATAAAATAATCAATTAAAATGCTTAATTGAGCATGTCAGATGTCTTTAGGGACTTCAAATTAAGTTTTTTTTAAGAAATAGCTTTTAGAAACATGTACCTTTAACATTAGCCAACTTTGAAGCCCGTACTGTTAAATTTACTATACATTTTTAATTATTTTAAGTCTGTTCCGGTTCAGATACTATTGTACAGGATGCATTTCGGGCCTATTGGTACCACTTAATTCCTTCGTAAGAAGCGTTTGATCATGGATAGATAAAACCTGGGTCCTTGCTCAATAAATTCTGCAAATTTGGGATACATTTATCGACATTTTTAATACGAAAATAAACATTTGAACATTTTAATTGATTATTTTATTTTTTTTGCATGAAACTTTTTTTTTAGTGTATTTGACATAATTAAAATTCCAAAAAAAAAATGTTAATAATAGGCGCTTCAATGAAGAAATTCAAAAAACACATTTTGAGCCATAATTTACAAATAATAATAATTTTAAAGTTTTGCACGAAATAATCTGTGACATTAAAAAAGTCAATGATTTTAGTTTTTTTTTAATTTTAAGTGCTATTCTATGGAATCTAAAAACAAGAGAGAACGCTATAGTCGGGTGCCCCGACTATCAGATACCCGTTCCTCAGCTTAAGGGAGTGCGAAGGAGATAAAAACTTTGATCCGCCGTAACTTTTTAACGAATGGTCCGATATAAAAAAATTTCTTCTACATTTCGATAGGTATTCATAAACATAATAAAACTGCATTTTTACTTTTCCGAAATATTAAAATTTTTAAAATCGTATACAAGCGATTGTGGGCGTTAGAGGGGGCGTGGCACCCTTTTGAAACAAACTTGCGCTGCGTAGGAACTCCTAGAATCTGCATGCAAAATGTCAATCTTCTAGCTTTTATAGTTTCCGAGATCTCAGCGTTCATACAGACAGACAGACGGACAGACAGACGGACAGACGGACATGGCTAGATCGACTCGGCTAGTGATCCTGATCAAGAATATATATACTTTATAGGGTCGGAAACGCTTCCTTCTAGCTGTTACATACTTTTGCACGAATCTAATATACCCTTTTACTCTACGAGTAACGGGTATAATAAAGAAGTAGGTTAATAAGGGCCAGAATACTACTGCATTTGATATTTAAATTTTGGTAAATTATCGTATAGTCTGTTAGCTATACGAGTTTGAATTTTAAGTTTACCTCTGCACGAAATAAGCTGTGAGCCACTGTATTGTTGTTTTGAATTGTTATTAGATGTGCCGTCAGTTTAATTTAATTTAAAAAACAATTGCACATTGACCTATTTTTTTTTCATTAAGTTCGGCCATCATCTTATTACTTCTTTCTTTTCCGTATCCAAAATAACTTTTCCGGCACTTCCATAATGTCGCTCGGGACATTTGCACACCTTTAAAGTTGAAAAAAAATTGGAAAAAAATGGATTTTAATTTTAAAAATGGGTTTTTATTTTCCTTCTTCCCAAGCTTTATTTTGTGTAAAAATCTTGATTTTGTACCACTTTTAGTTTTTAAGATATCGTTAAAAAACTGCCGTATTCGCTCGGGACAAAAATAGAATAGGGAACTTCATTCAACAAGAGAGTTTAGCGAATTCTGATGGAATATTTGAATGTGATTCTTTTTAGAATGTCGTCCAAACATGTCGCTATGAAATGGTTTTGGTTTTACTCAAAAATTGTTTGCCGTTTTTTTTATGCAGTTTCAACCACATTCGCTCGGGACATGTCGATCGGGACATTTTTTCTTAGCGTTTTGTAAAGTGTATTTCTTTACCTCTATCCCTTAATTACTGGCTGTTTTGCATTTAACTTAATAGTTTAGCATGTAAATGAAGCTGCTTACACTTACCCTTCTGGCATTTTCAAAAAACACAAAAAAAAATAGACGCAAAAAAAACACAAACACTGACACACAACGCACGTGCACGAATGAAGTTTTGAAACCTCTGCAGAGCAAATTCAAGGTGAAGTTCGAAGCGAACATGTGCGAAGCAACAGCAATAGTGGTGAGAGTCCACATACAAACACAAAACAGTGAGTGAGAGCGGTGCAGATATATAAAAACCCATAAAACTCACCATGGGGCTAGAATGCATGTTTGGATCGTCTCTTCGGCGAATTCGCCGAAGAGAGCGAATTTACTCGTAGAGTAAATGCAAAAAGAATATAAGCAACAGCCTAGCGAATGCACCCTCCGGAGTTAGCGAGTGCCGCCACCAGCGCTGCCAACCTTTTGAGGTCCCAGAGTTTAGTCCCATCTCTAACGAGGAAAATAAAAATAAAGCCGGCTGACAAACAATGAGCAGTCTCTTTTGCCCAGGGGCTGTCATGAAATAAAGGCCGAGAAATGGAAATAGTATTGCCCCAGGAAGTGCACGATGCGCAAAAGTTTCTGGACTGCGCGGAGCAGCTGGACTACGATGAGTTCTCGGCGGTGAGATATTGCGTTCTATATTTTTCCGTTTGCGATGGTCCTGATTTCAGGGGCTAAAATCTATATTTACAGAAAAGGTTTGTATTCTGCAATGGCCACAGCGATGTGGATGTGTTCGAGCTGATGGGCAACGACCGGCTGTCGCAGTTGATCTACGGGTGGGAGGTGTGCCACCTGCCCACCAGGGGATCCGAGTCCCTCGAGGATCCTGCGCTGCGACACATTGTCCTGGTTTTGGCCCACCACTCGCTGCAGATGTGGTTCAGCCAGGAGTGGAACACCTGCTCCGAGGGCCTCAAGCACCTGCTGCTCTACAGCCTGACCAAGGCGGTGCCGGCGTTCTACCAGATCGGCGACCTGGCTAACATCGACTGGGCATACATCCTGCAGTTCCAGACGAAGCCCTGGAGTCTCCCGTACCTGCAGCAGCTATTCCTCAACCTGAAGCTGAACAAACACCAGGCCATCGAGCACACTGTTCCTGTGGCGGCCGGAGAAGGTATGTGGATCGTATGTGGATCTTCACTTGGGAGATAAACGGAGGCTGCAACTTCTGTCTCCCCTTCTTTTCCCCCCAGACATTGCCTTCCTGATGCAGGAGGGCCTATCGCTGATCATCCTGCGCCTCATGCAACTCTTCAACGCTGGCAACTTTGAGGCCGTTAAACAGCTGGCGCTCCGAATGCTGGCTGCTTGGCTAAAGGCCCACGAAGGCCCAGCTGCGTCCTTTGAACGGGATCGGAGCTCAATTACCCTAGTGGGGCACCTGTACCTCTTGACTATTTTCGTGAGAGACGAAAACCGCGGCTATGTGATCGATAATTTGGTATGACGTATAATATAATATAATATAATAGTATAATGCCTCATAAAACCATCCTCCAGATGTACAACATTCGATTCTATGCCCAGACCATGCAGGAAGCTTCAGTCTCCCAGGACATAAACTTTACACCTGCCCGACTCATTGCCCAGGTTTGCGTGCGTCTGCAACTGGGCAAGAACGGCTTCTTCGAGCAGATTGGCTTCAAGAAATTCAAGCTCAACCTGGTCACCTCCTTCGCCGTCATGCTGGAGGCCTACTCCAGCTATGTGCTGGGCAATCTCCTCATGGAGCTCCAGGCTCTCAATGAGCACGATTTCCTCGAGCACTTGCCGCAGTTCAAAGTACTAATGTATCGCTATGTGGAGGAGCGGGAAAACAGCGAGCGCTTTCTGCTAGAGGAACTTAAGAAGATGGAGAACCAGCGAAATAGCCACTTCCAGCCACATGTGGTGGAGCTGAATCTGAACTACCAGCAGCAGATATGCAAAGGCAACCGGGCGAGTAATATTGGCAACTACAAGAACTGTGACGATGACGAAAAGCCACCGCCCGAGGCGGACGAGGAGCAGGACAGGCAAATAGATCCGGTCTTCCAAAACGTACCCAATAACGAGGAGGTTTTAACCTTTGTGTACAAGCTGCTGGCGGAACGAGTAAGTCGCGAGATCTATGCCCTTCAAACCATTGGCTAAAATTAGTTTTTATTTCAGAACTTTTCTGGCTGGAAGTTTGCCAAGATTGCGTTGCTGCTAAAGATCATTGGTCAACAGCTGAATGCCATAGAAATATGGCGCTATCATCCCGGACTAACCACCGAGTTTATGCTCGATTTGGAGCAGAAGATGTCGACGAACTATGCAGACTTGGCCAAAGTCTTCTCCGACCATGGCTTCATGGAGGCAGAGTTCTGGCTCACGGCCTTCTACCTCAACCCGATTACTTTGAACTACAACGAGGTGAGGCGTTGTTCGCGCATCAAGAAGAAGCGTCAGGAGGAGGACCACTGGCCGCCAGCGGCGTCCGCCAACAGTGTCAAGTACGAACTGCTGAGCTCCACCATCGATGTGGACGAGATTGTCACCATAACGAACCATCACGCACCAGTGGCCGACTACGATCCGGTGTACAAGTCGCTGCAGGCGCTCCGGCTGCCCCGCAGCATTATCAAGGACCTGCTGACGGTGGTCTTCCAGCCGCGGAACAAGCGCTACTCATGGGCTCTCGACTGGCACACGCTGCACGAGCGATGCCATGCGCTGCTCAAGAGTCGCGACCTCAAGAACAAATTCGTGTCCCTCAACATGGCCGAGGCGGGCGACCACTTGCAGTATCTGCAGATCGACTATGCCAAGTACCGGGATCGACCGCAGCTGGACTACGGCACCATCGAGGAGGGCTACGAGAATGCGGCCAATCTGCCCGAGGCGGAGGAGGAACCCGAACCGACGCCTGCCGAGGATGAAGAGGCTGCTAAGGCCACGCAGCAGAAAAAGCGGCGACCAGCTAGACGCAAGTTCTGGGATGAAGGTGAGCTACTTGCAGGCGTTGAGAGATTATTATCATCTTTTAAGGGGGGAGATACATACAGAACTTACATTTTTTTAAGTTTTTCGTAATTTTTTTTAACCAATAAGGAATTGTGCTGGGATTTCGTAACTTGGCATGGTCATTACATTGTTCTTATATAATTTTAACCAATTTTTATTTTGTTTTTATCCTTCAAAATAGCAGCCGTGGGAATCTTTTTGTCAGGCTATATTAAAAAAAAGTAAAATGTAAAAAAAGCTGCTGTGTAGGTCCGATTTTTATGAAACCAAGTTTATTTTGTTAACAAATAATGTAGAAACTGTCTGAACGTAACTTACATAGAATACCTCACAAAATGGTTGTGGCACTATTTCAAAGTCAAAAATCTATTTTTTTCATAATTTTTTTGTTGATTTTGGCTAACAAAAAATACTTAAACGTACAAATTTCTACATTAAGTAGGTTCAGACAGTGGGAAATTTTATTACAAACATTTCTATAAAAGCAGCATAATGGTCGAGGCATTACTTTTTGGGATACACGATCCGCAGCTGAGGAAAACGTGGTTTTGGGAAAAAAGGTATTTAAAGTTCTATATGTATCTCCCCCCTTAAGTTATTTAAGTTTTGAGAGCACTGCGCTTCATAGATTTATTTATTGTGCAAATAATATGATTTGAAAATTCCTTCTAGTGTTCTCGGAGGACGAGGAGGAGGCTGTCTCAAGCGATTCGGAGCCCTATTACACTGGCAATGGCCGCCGCACTCGCATTAGAGCCGCAGCCATGGTGGCCAACGCTATGTTGTCCGACATGGATCGCAGTGTTCGCGGTGGCCGACGATCAAGCTCTCCAGCGTCCTCGGAAGATAAATCTGACCCGCACCAGGAAAAAATCGACAAGGAGCAGGAGATCAACGTTGAACCCGCAAAGCCACCATCTCCAAACGAAGCAGCCGCCAGTGACGAGAGGCGCACAATCAGCGATCTAATGGAGGCAAGGACGAAATACAGCAACGAGACCGGCGGCTTTAAGGCCTTCGCCGACATCTGGAGCTTCGAGAAGGAAGAGCTGCAGAACGTGGCCAGCGAGGGCAACAACCTGATGGAGTGCAGCTCGGTGCTCAGCAAATTCAAGAACTTTAAGTCCCTCAAGATGACGGCTGCGGCCAAGGCTCCCGTGCAGCCAACTCCACAGCCACAGCCACAACCAATGCAAAGGATGGCTCGCACAGGATCGGAAACTGAGAGTGTCAACTCCGAAACCTCAACGATGGCAACGCATGATTTTAACGATGAGAACAGCGACTATTCCCCCGGCTTAAGTAAAGACCCAACACCGTCGCCGCCACCGGACGTATGTTATACTGAAGAAATAGAGACGCTTATGACGCAGGGGGCCCAGGAAACAACTGAGTTAAGACCGGAGCCTCTGGAGAGTGAGTGCGTTACCCAAAAGCCCGAGGACACTGGTCAGGACACCAAGGAGCCTCTTGAAACTAGGCAGCTAAACGAAAGTCCTAAGGAAACTAAAGAACTGGAAGAGAAAGACCCACAAACTAGGCAGCTAAAAGAGGTCCTCGAAAGTATATCGCCTAAGGAAGAGCTGCGGGATACTGAACAGGTCACCGAGGAGCCGCAGCCCTTAGACGTTCAAAACACCAGAGAGCAAAAAGAGGAGCTTATCAGCATGGAGACAACTGAAAATACACAGCTACCTGAAGCAATTGGAACCGACACAGAAACGGACACTGCCGAGGAGTCCTTGCGGTACGATGACGCCCACCAGGAACCAGAAAGTAAACGCTTGAAAGTAGATATTTTAAACGAGGAAACCCGCCCGAATTCACCGTCAAGTGAAGCCGCGGAAAGGCAACGCCTCATCCACGAGTGTCTCACACGTCCGGCTCAAGTATGTTTGAAGAGGTTAACGGCACGGGACATCGAGAAGCTTCGCGGAGTGCGGGTGCGTATCAAGCGAACCAACATATCGGATTACTATCGCGAGCAGGCGCTGCATAAGCGAATCCGAATCGAATCGAGTCTGAGGAGCCACAGCCACTCGCACACCGAGGACAGCAATGCATCGTCGCACAGCTACGATGCCAGTAAATATGGTAGGCGTCGCTTTAAAAAGTTCGTGCACATTACATCCGACTCGCCAGCTCCTTCGCTATCGTCCACACCGTCGCCTCGGATGATCGTTAAGCCGGTCTTCAAGCACATAACATCCGATTCGTCCACAGATCTGGAGGAGGTGCCGCACGCTGCTTCCGCCCTCAGAAGACGAGGGCGCGGACGAGGTCGAGGACGAGGTGGTTCGCGACAAACACCATCCTTTCCGCCCGATGTGATCGAGCTGTCCTCGGACTCGCAGTCCTCCTCGCCAGTGCCGGAAGCCAACCATCCGATGATTCACTTTACGGATGTCATGGAGATGGATCCGCTGTACGAGGAGGCAATTGTTCCCTTCTAAAACGCCGTAGGCGTCGTTCTACGTGCTCGGAACGAATGCCGGCGAGGGGTTGCAAGGAGTTTAAGCAGCGCGGAATGATGAAAATGTATAGCTGGAAAAATCGAGTTTGTCTCGCTTGTTAAAACGCAATTAGCCTGGGGCACATTCGGTATTTGCTTTTGCTCGAACAGTGCCAGGATTCTGATGAAATTATTTTCATGTACATCTGTTTGTCCAAGTTTCCGGCTCGGTTTTTATTTGGACTTTAACGACGCCCGCGGCTCACAAAACAAAACTCTCGACCAGTTCAGGCCAACACTCAATGGGCAAAGCAAACGCATCCGCTCTTCAATTAACTGCCTAATTGATATGCATTGTGGTTGTAAAAAACCAAATTGGCTGCACGCGTCGGAGGAGCTCTTGAACGTGGATGACGACGCCGGCGACACGTGACTGTTGGTGTGAATTTTAGTGGCAATATTCTTGTATCAATAACTAAGGGGCTGGGAGTATAAAAACCGAACAGGGAAATTATGTGGCATCTAGTGTGTTGGAAATTGTTAGTAGTTCTTCTTATTAGTTAGTATTAAATATGTTTAAAACTTCAATTACAATTATAAACTAGTTTTTTGTATCTAATTTGTACTACCTAGGAGTGTACTTAAGAATTTTTATTTTACTATTGTAAAATAAGAAATTATGATGAAAAATAACTTCCGCTTTGTTTCTAGTTTTTGGTTCCAAACTTGTGTGAATAAATAAATAAGGAAAAGAAAAACTTGTATTTATTGATTTGCTTTACGAAGGAACTCATGATAAATTAAAAAGTAGATAAATTAAATGCCATAAAATATTAATAAAATAATAATAAAATATTATTTATGTTTAACTTTATAAAAGATACATTAAATCTATTATTTTAACCAAATTTTAATGAAGTTATTCATTGCTAAGATCGAATAATTTTTTAAAAAAGAAACTTAATTCATGCCTATTATACAGCTATCGGAAGTTTACTAATCGGAATTATGGAATATTATCAAATTAGCACCCTTGATACTCAAGTCCCTGCTCGTGCTGGTAATTTGCGGCGACTGCCGCATATCATAACAAATCCGCACGTGGCAAATGTCGGCCACTTGAAACTGCAATCTAGATCCTTTTTCAGTCTCCTTGCCACAGATAGGAATCCACATCGGCACACTTGGCCACTTGAGCACCCGTTAAGACCGCGGCACGTGCCAACGCCTGGGTTTTTTTTGGGTTCTGGATCAGGAGGATGGACTGGAGAGGAGTGAGAGCTTCTGGGCGACTACACATGTTGCTTTTTCGGAAGTGGAGGCGGTATCCTGGCCACGTGCCACTAACCCGTTTAGCGACAGGCGTAAGCCCTAAAGGATTATTGCGGTTTAGTGGCGAAAAGCGAAAGAGTTGCGAGTAATTGAATCGTTTGAATTGCAATCGCATTAAGCGCACGTAAATTCGATGTGGCGATAAAGTAAAATATCTGTTTATTTAGGCCACGAAATTTATATACTCTTTGTAGATACACACTCAAAATAAATGGTACCCTAAATTTAAGAAAATCGCCATTAAATTTTTTTTTTCTAAATACAAGAAAGTTATTTCTAAAACTAAGAAAATTCTTCTAAAATCAAGAAAGTTTTTTTTAAATCTAGAAAGATTTTCTTAAAGTTAGGAAATGGTTACCATGAACTAAAAACTAGAAAAAATGTCCTTAAAATTAGAAATTATTTTGTTAAAAATAGAAAGGCTAACGAAAATTATAAAATATTTTAGTAACACCTTTGCACTTGGTCAAGAAATTTACCAACAATAGTTGGTCTAAATAGATTGCTGACTAGAAAACATCTAACTAGAAATCAATACGTACACGGATTTTATACTTTTCTCATTTTTATCTTAATCACATATTTTTCTCATTTTATAAATATTTTCTATGGCGTTGTTTTATTTAAATTGATATAAACTTTATTAAATGTTTTATCAAATGAATAAAATTAATTAAATTTGTTTAATATTTATGCTCTTTTTCTAAATGATCCTGACTTTAATATACTCAGATGATCGTTTTTAAATCTTGTAAATTTAATAAATATTTTAAGTACTACTTACCTACCTACGACACAAAGTATTTGAATAACCCCAAGGAAGGTAACGGAAAGTAGTTGTAAACTTTGATGATGCCGTCGGCGACATCGCTGATCCTCGGACTCAGACATCCTTCCGATTGGCTTAGAGAGCGCCGCTCGCCAGCAGAGCGTGGAAAATGCTCGTATTTTGACTGGTAGTGCTGCCTGCAGAACGAATCTCCATCTCCAGAAGGCGCAGAAGTCCACCCCTTCCACCGGCGGTTCTGTGTGTGAGTAGGCAAAAGCCACCCCCGGGGCGGCAAGCGACAATCACGGCGCATATCTGTTGGGATTTGCGTTCGGGGTTCTACATGGCGCCGCCACGACCGACGACAATGCGCCGAGGGTTGTTGCCTGGCGGTCCGGACCCAAATCGGCGGGCTTAATGGCCGGCCGGGCACATAAAACCGGTGCTCACTCCTCGCCAGCTTTTAGTTGGTGCGGGCACGCGAAGAAACACACAGCGCTCACGGAAATCGGAAATGTGCTAAAGGATACAGGACTCGCTACAGATACAGATACAGATAAACGAGAGATCATGGCTGCCTGCTACAATGCCTATAGCGCTGGATCGCAGTCCTTTGAGTTCGACGAGGACGACGACGACGCCTCCTTCGACAGCGGCTACGAGAAGAGCTTCGAGACGGAGGCCCAGGCGCTGAGCTCCCGCCGGCGCCTGGACTTCGATGCTCCGGCGGTCCAACAGCCGTACGCCGGCGCAGCCTGGGACACCGTGCCGCTCAACTCACTGCTGGACACGAGCAGCAACCACAGCACGCGGAGCGGACGAACGCTGGTGGAGCACCTGAACAGCCGGGCACCGACTGCCGCTGGCTTCGATCCCCCCTTGACCAGCACGCCCATGAAGTCGTCCGAGGATCCGGATGCGCCGCGACCGAAGCGCAAATATGCCGTCGGCAAGAACCGGGTGACGCGGTCGCGCAGTCCCACGCAGGTGGTCAGGATCAAGCGCTTCCGGCGGATGAAGGCCAACGACAGGGAGCGCAATCGGATGCACAACCTCAACGATGCGCTGGAGAAGCTGCGGGTCACACTGCCCTCGCTGCCCGAGGAGACGAAGCTGACGAAGATCGAGATCCTGCGCTTTGCCCACAACTACATCTTCGCCCTGGAACAGGTGCTCGAAAGTGGCGGCTCGATCAATCTGGATCTGGAGAAGCTTCAGAACTTTACGCTAAGCGGCGAGCGGATCACCAAGGAGCTGTTCGATGCGCTGTTCGTGAATCCCCAGCCCTTTCCCATGTTCGGATGCGGCAGGATGTTTCCCTATGGGCAGAATATGCCCCCTCATCCGACTCCCGCTCCCGCTCCGCCTGCAGAGCATCCGCCCGCGATGGGGGGCTTCCAGCAGGGAGTGGACTACGCGCAGCAGCCACCGGGATTCGACTTTACAGGCAGCATGCGGTTCTACCATCAACAGCAGCAGCAGACGCCTCACCATCTGCAGCATAATCCTCAGCAGGAGTCCAGCCCGCAGTTCTCGCAGGAGAAATACGATCTATTTAGGGGCTCCTTCGATGCAGCTGCCAATCTGCACAATCCCAGTCACCTGGATTCGGGGATTCATCATCAGAGCAGCTTCTACACGCAAACGCCGCCCTGGAAGGAATATCCAGAGGATCAGGGGCATCCACACGGCTACAAACAGTTTGCCCCGCAGGTGTAGCACAGTTTTTAGGGCCATCTAAGGTTTTTCAGCGTGATATACTTAAAGATTGCTGGGGATCGGCAGGAAACTTATCTAGGGGAATCCCCGAAAGAGATGCACCCTTGACTTATTTTAATGGAAAGACTAAAGTAGCTTAAGGGTCTCATCTCTGGATTTCCCCCTTCTAACTTTCCTCGAATCCCTCGCAATCCGTTGATATTGGTAGTAAGTGAGGCACTCAATTGACTGCCTGGATTATGACTTTAAACTAAAGCTAATCTTTGCACTCAATTAGTTTCATGTTATAGAAGGATCTTCAACAGATTAACCAATGCTGATTTACAAAGAATCGAACAAACTCTATAATTCCAATTCACCTTCATTGGTTTCTTTTCTGCGGATCTCTAGTGAATATTTGAATTAAGAGTGCTTAACCTGAACATTTTCCAAAAAACCACTCTTCTTCTCAATATATTCCCTTCACATTCTTCTTGACTATATAGTACAAATCGGTTGTCCATATTTATTGTAAGCGGATACGTACCTTGCCATTGTAGACATAAGCCTAGTTTTAGCGATCACTGAAATGTACCAGGTATTAGCCATAATTAACTGTACAATCGATTAAGTATATATGTAGGTTATGCCAGATTCTATATCAGTTATTGCAATGCAAGGAAAGCGAGCTAGTCAGGGCCAGAACTTTAAAGTGATAAGATTGAATTTCGATGTAAAGCCATAAAGATTTATTTTTGCAAATAAAGTTGACGATCAAAACGAGCCAGAAAATTGATGGGAAATGGGAAAAACGGGAGAACAAAGTCAAAAATAGTAGCCAAAGCAAACAACCCTGGGCTGCAAAGGGAATCAGTACGGATTTGAGATCCCAAACAATGGACTTAAATTCAAATAAATATTGTATATTGCAGTGCACATAAAACGAATGGCTTTGTGTGTGTGCACTGCAGCTTGTTTTTATCGTAGGGGGCATTTTTCGCCCTTACAATTCGACACGGGGTGAGTTCAAGTAGAAACTGAACTCCGTAGTCCCGAGGTTCGAACAATGGAAGATTGCCCGTCACCTGCCACACAATTACAAAACGAATGTACCAACAGCAGCGGCAGTCAGGACCGAAGGTCCTGAAACATGAGCTGTGAGCCAGTGGACCTGCATGAATGCCACTCAAATTATTTAGTTGAATGAACCGGCAAGAGTCGAGGGAAGCTGAAACTGCCTAACTGACTGACTGACATTTTCCGTTGCGAGAGAAGGGTGAAAAGGTGCGGAAGATGCTGCAAAGCCGGTGAGGAATTTTTCATCTCCAGCTGAGGATTACAGTAAGATTTTCCAATCTCTAACATGAGCTGTCATTATAAGAAGCCGTCACTTTAAAAGGAATTTTAAATAAGAGGCAAATTCAATACTTAATACGATACCTAATTTAATAAAAAAATTTAAGTATTGAAAATTAAACCTGAAATAAGTTTTGAAAGATTAGAAAATGTTTTGTTTGTTTTTTCCTAGCTTTAAAAAAATGTGATTTCCAAATTAGACAAAAATTCACGTTTACCAGTTGGAAATGTTAAGTGTCATCCCTTCATTATATTAAACCTAAAACATGCAGCTGCTGTTGAATCGATCTAAAAATTCATTTATAAAATTTATGGCAAAAAACGTCTTCCTACAAAAAATTACAATTTTTAATTAAATAATTTTCGGTTTTTAGTTTTGAGTTTGAAGTATGTTAAACTCCAATGTATATTAAAATTCAACCAGGACACTTTTTCGCATACCCATAACTTCTTCTTTGCTAATTTTTGGGGTTATAAGCAGGACTTTGCCTGTATGTCTTCCACTAAGCCGGCGTTTGTCATTTGAGCAGCTTTGTTGGAGGTGTCGGGATTTATCTTTACAATAATCATTATTACGGACCGGCATGGGTCCTGCATTCTGTTGTCCTGTTGTGTGGCAAAGGCGCAAATACGCAGCGGGTGAGCCAGCTAAGCTGCATACAATTTCCAGGACTCTCGTCGAGGGTTGAGCCTGAATCCTGGCAAGGACTGGCATCATTAGCGGACGGGGTGGCTCCGTTTCGATGGCTATCGACGGATCAATGACGACATCTCCGCCTCAGTTCCCTTCCCCGAATGCTAATGCACTGCGAGGCTGGAAAAACAATTTGGCGATGGCCATAAGGCGATAAGCAAACCAAAATGGAAACAAATTGCCATGGACATGCTAAAAGGCGCAAACACAATGGCATCTTCGGTTGCGGCAAGTGCAGGTCCTTGGAGAGCGATTCAAATGCGGTCCGATGAGACTGCACAAAGGAGATGGGTCGGCTAATGGAGGAGGGTTCGACTCGCAGATACCTAAATGAATCAAATTTCTCTGATTTTCGGGGATTAGTCAAAATGGAAAAAAAAACTTCATACTCCATCTTATTGAATCAAGTTTTGAAAGTCCGTTGCTTTCTATGAAGTTATTTTTATAACAGTCACATTAAAACTAATCCAAACAATGGTCTTTAATATTCATTGAGGGGTAAATTTTCAGAACATTTATTTAAATTAATTTAATGGTAATAATTAGAACTTTTATACATTTTATTACAAATAATATTTTTAAATTAGAGAGATATACAAAAGGGAAAAATATTCTAAAACTGCAAATATTTCGTTTATTCTGGGTCAAAAGGTTTGCTATGCATACCAAAAATAAAATCAGAGTTCAACCCTGAACTTTACAAGCATGAAATATCGAGATCATATATCACACCGTTCCAGACAACACCGTGCCAATTTGTCCTTGCCCTTTTGCGATTCCCATTTCGCAAATCGAATTTTATTTGCCGAATTGATTGTTTTACGCCTTTTTAGCAAGAAGTTGGCACACATTTTTTAACCCTTTGCCGGTGCACGTGGGTCGTTGCATCCCCAGATCCTTTGTTTATTACCCCTTTGGTCCTGATCAAACATTCGCGGCAGAGATTCGCTTTGGTGCTACAGCTACACGTTTGCTTTTTAGCGGCAAGTTGCTCGACTCGACTCGACCTTTTTGCCCATTCATTGCCCTGCTCGAATTGGTTTATCTGTGAAATCTCTGGTTGTTGTTCTTTGTGAGCCTTCCGGGGTGTGCTACCTCGTATATGTTACTGTTCCAAATAAAAATCCAGGAAGAGATGCAATCTTTGCCCTACCTTTGTCGCTTTCGAGTTGTGTGCTCATCTAACCGAAAAACATTGGATAAACAAACAGCCGCTCGAGTATTTTGTTACACTTAGTACCCGAACCCGGGACCATCGCCTATTTATTTCTCTATATATTTTGGAAGGAAGCCAATCTGTCGCATTTGTGTGCAGCGGGCCCCTCGGCTGAAACTGTAAAATGTTATGCAAGCTGATTTTTAATCCGATCAGAGCGGTTTTAGTCAAATTTAAGCAGATTTATGTCACATTGTTGAGCCAGAAAGTGGTACGCAGAAAAGGGAAAACAAAACGAAAATGTTAACACATGTAAATCAAGAATCAGATAACTATATCGTGCATGCTCTTCTATTAGGCAAATCGAATTGAGATCATGTTCATGCCCACAACCGATAAGACCGGAAAATTCGATTAAGGTTGCGGAAAATATAATGAATTGAGAGCAAAAAGAAAATGCACTGGGTTTTTCAGGATATTTGTAGGTTTTGTAATTAAAGTGGGTTTTTAGAAACAAATATTGAAATTAAACAGATTGAAGAATGAAACGTCATAGTCGTTACACTAAACCCTTACAGAATCCTATTACCATAATGTAATGTGTAATAATGAATAAGGTAATCAAATTTGTGGATATTAATAAATAAAAAGAACGTTGTTAAAACTGAATAAATAATAATAATTATATACAAAAATTATTGTGACATTTGTAGTTATTTTTTGCTTCATTACGATGCGTAATATTTACTTCCTTGACATTAAATTACAGTTTAAATTTCTTTGAAGAAAACAAATGGCCATACACATGAATGAATAGTAAAAGAAAGTTGTAGAATCAGTTTATCAAACAGGCTAGCACTTTTCCAACCCCCCTATATAAGAACAATTTTTTATTCAAGTCACATTCTGTGACTGCGCCAAAAAAATACACATTTCAAATATATTCCTTTTCCAAATGAATAAACTGTTAGACAAACAATACATTAAACTTTACAACTTCACACCCGCTGCCAGTGAACGCGAAACATTAACATCGGAGGAAGCACCCTTTGGCCCAGCTGAAAGTGGAAAAAATCCTGGCAGCAAGGAGTGGTAGATGGTAGCTGTACCACAAACGATGAGTTGATTGTTATGCAAATGAGGTTGGCCGGCAAACCAGCAACCAGCGACCAGGACGAAATGCGAGAGCCCAACCCCAGATTTCGACTCGGATCCGGGTTCAGTTCATCAAGTGGTCATAAATTTATAGGTAGTTTGCCGAGAGCTACGAGGACGCGAGAAGCTGCCTAATTACTATGCAGCGCCATGTGCATAATGAAGCTGACATTTCTAATTTATGGTTGATATTTGTTAATTTTTTTTTCTCCGTTCTGCGTAAATTGAAACGAAAGGTTGGCACTAAAATGTCGGCAAAACAACGGTTTCATGCCCAGTTATTGTTGAATGTAAACAACGGACGCGGAGCGAGCGATTTAATGGGGGTTACGGAGGAGAAATAGGAATCCTTTCGTTGATCCTAAGCTGACGCATCCTGGTAATTCCACTTCCGGCTTAGAGCTGAAATTCGCGCGAAAATCCCGCGGTAATTCCGCCATTGTGTGGAGTTACACAAAAAAACGAGGGAAAATTCGGGAAAAACTGCGGAAAATCTTTGCAAAAATGAATTGCGAAAAATACCCCAAAATATAAATGGGAAGCCGAACTAGTAGTTAACTGCAATTACGCAACCCCTAAGTCCTTTTTTATGGCCCTGCCACCTCGACAAGCGACCGTTATGATTCCTTGCCTAACTTTCCTGCCCGGCTTTTCACTTTTTGATATGCACGCAAGGCCTTTGACTATTTGTTGCACGATCAGGAGAAGGAGGAGGTTCCATGGCAAAGGAAATGGCCGGGCTCATTCATTAATTGTTGGCATTGTTTGTCGGCTTGTCAGCCGGACATCTGGCCCGACACTAGCCGTCAGAGAACTGAATCTGGGGTAAAAAGTTAATTTGTGGACACCTGCATACACACGTGATATGTGTAGGGCAAATAAAACGTTTCAAAGCCAAGTTGTGTGAATCAGATAATATCTGAAGTAATAAATGTCCTCTATAAACGTAATTTTTTGGAAATAATGTTGAAAAGATAGCATCAATCCATTTTCTTTTACTAAATCTAAGTGGTTGTAAAATGTGAAGGATTTATTACTTTTAATTCATTTGTAACTTATAGATTATTGTTATGGTAACTGAAAGTTAAAAAATTGTATTTCTTGTCAAATTTCTATTTTCTATAAGAGGTTACATACTCTTTTTTCGAAATTTTTAAAAATATTTAGGATATTAGGCTTAAAACTGTCAATTTTTATTACGATCTTAGCTTACAAACTATAAAATAAGCAAAGGTGAACTATACTTAATATCACCTTAAAATAACTTGAGGTATTAAAAAATAGGTTTTTACGGATTTATTATAACTTAAATTCTGTACTTTTTAGGTATTTAGTGTTATGATTATTGGTAATAATCAGAACTGGAACGTTTCTCACTTGTAGATACTGCTAAGTTAAGCCATTGGCGCCAAAAAAGTCTATCTATCCTATCCAGTGGTATTAATTGGTGATTATTAAAACTTCAAGCCTTGATGGTCGGCGCCATGAGTGATTTCCAAACGAGCCACTTTGACACTCGAATTTGTAGTGTGATTTATGAGGATGACACTGCCATCATCAATCACTGTTCAAGTGGAAGGTGATTTAGCAAAACACAAAAAGTAAGAGACTGCAAGGGAAACTGCAATCCAGGTTAGTTAGGCTTTATGTAAATTTCAGAGACTTTCGCTAGTAAGGGAAACAAGTTTAATTATAATTACACTCAATTTTTGGGGAGGGGGTGAGGAGCGAGCAACCCCCAAAGGCTCAGTTCAGCTAAGTTGACCCGGACAACACTTGATTCGATGTCTTGCGTTGTTGATGTTGTTTCGCTTTAAAAAGTTATAAAAATAAGTCGATGGAGAGTGGCAGCAGCAACCCCCGAGTTCATCTTTTGCACCCTTTGATTTTGGCCAGGATGCAAGGATCGGGGATCGGGGCAGGACCAGCATCATCCCCTGTTTTCCCGCCCGTTCGCTCGTTCGTTGCCAGGGGCTAATGAGCGCCGCACATTAGTTTTAACAACATTTATTATTTATGGGTTTTTCCCTCCCCCTGTCCCGCTCACCCTTGCTGCATCTGCATTGCTCTCTCTCTCACTCTGCCCGGTATATTTACTTTAGACGTTATATTTTCACTTGCCTGCATAGTGACGCAGTTCTCAAAATTAACTCAAAATGGGAGTTTGCAATTACTCTAAGCACGACAAGTTTAATTGGAATTTGGAATCCGGAGCGGCTCGTTAACAACTTGAGCCAGAATCTGATGGTACTTAAAAGCGCTTCGAAACGGGTGAAAGGATAATGCGAATTTATCTTTCAGTGGTTTGTCTAATGAAAGACTTGAAGGATTTACTTTGGGATTTACTTAGCTTGAAAAGTAAATAACTAAAAATAAATTAAAAATCCTCAATAATTATTAATAAATAGTTTGGATATTTTAAAAGGATATATATTATATTTTATTTCATCCCATGTTTTTAGAAAGTCTTCTAATACTAAATTATTTTACCCAACAAAAAAATGGTTTTTATAAATTATGTTATTCTAACTCTATTATTCCAATATGTATTTTTGAATAACCAATCTATCCTAATAAATACCAACTTTAATTAATCACTCCCAATTTTTAGCCCACACCTTTATGGATTTCAGGCCATTAGTGGGGATTCGATTCATTTGCATATCACTTCACACGCCCACGTGTCGGGAAAACTGAGTAAATGCTCGCGTTTTGTTTTTCACATTTTTGTAGTTAATAGAATTTATTTGCACACATGTTCACATTGGACAAACTACTTAGTCGTATATAAATATATTTACTTAATAGCGAAAGCATATGCATTCTGTTTGAAAACGGAAAACTCATTTTCGGTCGACACGCACATGGCCTTTTCTGACTTTGACTCCTGGTCCTTGTCGAGGATTGGATTGCGGAGCTGGAATTGGGCTGCCTTTTGTGGCGATGTTGTTTATTCTGCACTTGTTCGACATGTTGCGGACAAATAGACGATAAGATAAATATATGTAAAAATAAATGCATTCCAGACCTGCCAAAGTACGAATGAAAACCCGCCAAATCGGTCCGGGAATCGAGCACTTCAGCACAAATGACACAAAGAACTGACTCGACTTAGGCTAACATTTCAATTGGATAATTATAATCGCTAGGCTTTATACAGTATTCATAGTTATTAACAATAGACCTAGGCTAAATGGGGCTACACGTACATACTAGATCACGCGCATAGTATGCTTAAGCTTATGGTATATGGACTGATTTGGCATTCTACCGTCTACCAATCTCTGCTAGAAAAAAGTCCCGGTTCGCAGTTGCCAAGCGGAGATCCCTTACATTATTCTAGGGATCTCCGCTGGTGCAAAGGGGTCTTGAGTCTTGGGGGCACTACTAGTCTACTAGGTTGGTGTGTTGTGGTCAGTGGTTGAACCTGGACCTTCCCGTGCAGAAGATGAGCTGCGGCTACAAGGGTCCGTAGATGGGTTCCGAGTAGAGCACGGCGGGCATGGAGTAGCTATACGAGGTGGGCGTGTGCTCCGTGGAGGCTCGCAGACTCGCCTGCAGACTCCGCTTGCTGTGACGTTTCAGCCTTTAAAAAGATAATTAACATTAGATATTAAGGTCAGGTTTAATTCTCTTAAACTAAACTTACTTCTTCTTCAAACAGCAGGCTGTGCACAGGGAAACCAAGGCAGCCAGGCCAATGAGGGCGGCCAGGAAGACCAGCCACGCCCCCGCCGAGGTGAGCATGCCCGCAAAGAGGGCCGCTGCATGGGTCCTCCTCACCGAACAGGACTCCACCTCACTAACCCCATAGGCGGCATATATATCGATGAGCTCCTGTCGCAGTTGCTGCGAGTTCATCAGCTTGTGCATCTCACTGAAGGACAACGCGGCTCCATTCTTGAACATCTGGAAGCAGGAACTCGTGGACGTAAAGTCCAGACTCATGTCGGGTCTGGTGAACACCTGGGTGTCCAGGACATGGAGCTCCAGTCCCAGGGGCTTCAGTTTCTTCTGCAACTGCTCCTGGAAGGGACGGATGTTGTGCTGGATTTCGTTGGGCGGCCGGGCAAAGACGAACTTCAGCAGGGATTTGTCTCGGATCACAAACACCTTGAGGCTACTGTGCGCTTGACGTCTGGGCTCCGCCGAATTGTTGGCCATCACCCGCATCAGGAAGTAGCCATCCACGTAGTCAGCAAAGGAACCTCCAGTTCGCAGCTCTCCAGTTCGATTGTTTAGGGTGAAAAGATTCTGGAGATTACCGACGGCCAGGCTGCGACTTCTCTTATAGAACTGGGGGACAAAGGTGACATTCTCGATGGACAGACCAACGGGTGGAGCCTCGGCATCCGCATCGCTGGCCTTTAAAGTGGTCACCACCGTGTCGATGGGCACATTGATCCTAATGCCCACTGTGGGATCTGGTTGCTCGAACTGCGGCAGATTGTCGTCGATGTCCAGTACACGAATGGTGATACGCAAATGCGAGGGATCGCGACGATCATAGGGGTCTCCAACAAACTTGTAGCCAGGCTCCCCCAGTTTCATGCACTTGATCGTCAGGGTGAAGGACTCGACCAGCTCTCGATCGATGGGCTTCTGGGTCTTGAGTATGGCCAGGCTTTCGTTATTTCGCTCTACCGTGAACAACTGCTCGTTGTTTCCCTCAATGATCACATAATCAATGGCGGCATTTTCGCCCAGATCCTCGTCCAAAGCGGTGAAGTTGCCCACAATAGTGCCAGCCGGTTCCTCCTCTCTCACTGACATGCTCAAGGGTCCTTCGTCCTTTAAACAAGATCATTATATTCATTATTTAATGGTTTTGTGGAATCCTCCAATTTACTCACAACTTCTCGTGCGAATCTAGGCTCGTGATCATCCACATCCAGCACTGCGATCTGAAGAATTCGCGTCACCGACTGCTTGGGCTGTCCATTGTCACTCACTTCCAGCAGGATCCTGTACATGTTCTTCGTCTCGCGATCTAGGGTTTGCCTGGTTGTTATTAGTCCCGTGTGGGCGTCTATGACGAAGGCTTCGGCATCTGGAGTATCTGGCAGGATGCGATATGTAATGCTTCCAGACGGAGTGTTCTCATCATCCGGATCGCTGGCAATGACTTGAAAGACTGGGGCTCCAATGACAGCGTTCTAAAAATAGTTAAATTTATTTAATTAGAAACATTCGATAGTTTTTTTAATAGTTACTCACCTCTGTGACATTGGCCATTTGTCCAACGCGAGGAGCCAGAAAATATGGCACTCCATCGTTGGCACTCACATCCCCGATAAATATCCGGACATCTGTGTCGGTGGATAGGGTAGGCTGCTTGGGCAGCTGGTTACCATTGTCCTGGGCCCGAACGATCAGTACGTAGGGATCGGCGCGACCTTTGCCCGTAAGATTGCGTCGCGTGGATATCAGACCACTCTTCGGATCCACCTTGAAGAGGCCATTGGCCTCGCCCTCGTTGACCAACTCGTAGCGCACCTCGCCGCCCAGACCCTCATCCGCATCCACGGCCTCCAGCTGCAGGACAAACGAATCGATTTGGGCATTTTCCGGTATCACCGTGCTGTACTTCTTTTGCGTAAACTCTGGAGCATTGTCATTCACATCGAGTACCTCGATTTGCAACTCCACCACACTCTGTTTGGCATCCGTGGGTCGACCAGGTGAATCCTCCGCCTTGATCTGCAACTGAATCCTAGGTGTTCGCTCCCTATCGATATTCTGGCCACTGGCTACGATGATCTCCCCAGTGGTATTGTTGATCTCAAAGAGCATTGCGTGCTCGCCCTGCAGCGAGTAGATGATCTTGTGGTAGCCCAAACGCTCGTCCCGGGCATTTAGCACCGCATCCTTGTCCAGAGCTCTCACCCGGATCACTCGCTCGGGATGAGGTCGGTTCTCGATGATGGTGGCGCGATAGGAACTCTGCTCGAACCGCGGACTGTTATCGTTCACATTCTCCACGGTGATATTCACCCGGCTAACTGTGCTCCTCTGCCGATCGGCGCTATTGGCACGCACTTGCAGTTCAAAATCGGGACCAGTCTCACCCAAAGCCTCGTAGTCCAGCCGCTTCTTGAGGATCACCTCGCCCGTTCGCTCGGCCACCTGGAAGTAGTCCACTTGCTTGGGTTCCACCAACTCGAAACTGGTTATGGGCTGCCGCGACACCGGATCCTCGGCCTGCAGGATGAACAGCGCACTATCGATGGGCATCTCCTCTTTGATCTTCACATCGATGACGGGCCTTGAGCTAGACCAACCGGGGTTCTTGAACACGGGATTGGTGTCCTGGAAGGACTGTACATACACGGTAACCTCGGTGGCATCCACTTGACCCTCGGGATCCACCTCCGCATTGAGATCTCGTACTCCCACGGTGAAAATGATGATGGCGGCCACATCGTGACGAAGTGACCCGTTGACGAAGATCTCACCGCTTTGACTGTCCACGCGGAATGCCTCCTGCAGGCGGTAATTACTGCGATTGGCTATATTCACACCCGCTTTGGTGGTCGCCGTGACAGGACCTATTAAACCGTACTCCAATTTCGAATTGAGATCCTTGTCGATGGCCCTGACTCGAAGGACACTTTCTCCAACGGCCGTCCTCTCGGAAACATAGGCCGCATAGCTATTCTGCTCAAACTTGGGACGCTCATCATTGATGTCCTTGACATTCACATAGACTGTAGTCGTGGCTGTTTCCGGAATGGGAGTGCCCGAGTCCACGGCATTCACGATGATCTCGAAGCTGTTCATGTTCGAGTCGCGATCAATGCGGGCTTGCGGCGATACGGTTATCAAACCGGAACTGAAAGATAGATAAAATTTATGATAAAGGTGTTCCCAAGAAATAGTTAAACAAACTCACAGTTCATCAATCTCAAAGTTATCGTTGGCTCCCACAATCCTGTAGCGCAGCAGGCTGTCCAGACCATCCGGATCGTGGGCGGAAACGGAAGTGACATTAGATCCTGGAAGGGCATTCTCGGGAATGGAGACTCGATAGCTGGGCGGTCCAATGATGGGCAGGTTCTCCATATTCTGGAAGTGGCCACGAAAGATGGGTCGCTGATTTCCAGAGATGCCAACGCGTACCAAAACACGAGTGGTGTTGGACAAGGGAGGAATGCCTGAAAAGAATAACTGGCTTGATGGAAAAATATTTTTTAAGAAATAGGGAAATATCTTACCGAAATCTGTGGCCGAAACCACCAGTTCGTACTCCCCTCGTTCCGTGTCCATGGATCGCGCCGCCTTTTGGATGACAATCTCGCCCGTATCCGGCTCGATTCGGAATACATTTCCGGCAATACTATTCTCGGACACAATCGAATACCTAACCCTACCATTTCCCTGGGTGGGACCATCAGCATCGTGGGCGCGGACAAAGAACTGAGGCTCAAATAGAGCTGCACCTTCTCTAATAGTTCGACTGTACTCGCCGCTCTCGAAGCTCGGATGGTTGTCGTTGACGTCGGTGACCCCGATGAAGAGATTGGCATTCGCCTCGCGATCACCTCCGTCGATGGCCACCACTGTGAGGCTGTAGCTGCTCTGCTTTTCGTAGTCCAGGGGTTTTAGGAGGTAAAGACCTCCGGTCTCTGGATCAACATAGAAGTTGTCTGCCCCGAAACCCTTGAGCACGTAGCGCACATGTCCAAATTCTCCGGAATCCGCATCGCTGGCCTTCACATGACCGATCAAAGCGTCCACTGGAAGATTCTCGGCTGCCGTAAAACGATAGGTTCCTTGATCGAAAACCGGTGCATTGTCATTGGCATCCAGCAAGTGGATCTCTACCCGCGACTTGGCCTTCTCCACGCCCTTGACCGAAGCCACCAGATCGAATTCGAACTTGCGGAGGTCAGGATCACGGACATCGTAGTCCAAGCGACTGGCATTTAGCACCTTGACAACCACCGGTGTCCGACCTTGAGCATCCGAAGGGGAAACAGCAAACACCCCGGCGGAATTGGAGACATCCCTCAAGGAAAGCTGATAGCGACTATTCTCGCCCATATCCCGATCATCCACGAAAATCGAGAGTCCCGGCAGAGGCATTCCATTGGCCAGGTTCTCCGTTATCGAGACATTAAAGTGCGCTCCACTAAAAGTGGGCTGGTGATCGTCCACATCGGTTACCACAATGGTTACCCGCGTTAGTGAGTGCTCGGCAGGAATGGCTCCATCGATCAGTTCGGTGGCTCTGATGGAGAAGACATACACCCCGCCATTCTGCAGGATCTCCGCGTTTTCCCGATCCAGTGGTTCGGCGGTGGTCTGCAACACGGCGGTTCCCTCGCGGGGATCGCCAAAGGGCACTAGTTCAAAGTGCCCGAAGGGTTCATCCTCCAGGGAGAGGAAAATATCCCTGGGGATGCCCACATCCCCGTCGATGGCCTTCACCGTGAGTATGCTCACTCCAGCTGGCGTGTTTTCCAGCACTGTGGCGGAATACGGGGCATTGGTGAAGACCGGCGGTTGATCCTGGATGTCGATCACATTGATCGAAATGGTGGCCAGCGAGGAGAGGCGGTTATCCAGAGCGCTGTCCGAAGCTGAGATGGTCAAAATGTACGAGGGACGACTCTCAAAGTCCAGTGGTTGCTTTAAAGCCACTCGAGCGGTGTAGTTTCCATCGGAGATCTTAACTGCGCGCACCTCAAAGATGTCGCAAATGTCGTTTTCCTGGAAAAATTAATAAATTTATTAAACAAATAATTATAATAATATATTATAATAATATATCACCCACCTCGACGCACTTCATCTGGATCTCTGCATTGATGCCCTCATCCCGATCGATCACCACAATAGGTGGCTCCACGTTTAGCTCCGCACCTATAGGTAGGGATTCACTAGCAGTGGCTGTATAGGGTCTTCCCAGGAAAATCGGCTGATTGTCATTGTAATCCCGCACGGGAATCTCCCGCCTTTGGGATACGGTATTCGGCTCTGTGCCATAAACACCTTCATCCGTGATGCTAATGATCACCTCTACTGTGTCCTGGGTCTCTCGATCCAACTCCTGGCGCAGGCGCACCACTCCCGTTTCGCGATCCACGGAGAAAACGGGTCCACTGATACTGTACTTTAAGCGACCTCCTTCTGGATCGGTGCCTGCAATTAAAATTTTAAAATATAATTAAATCATTAAAAAGAATTTTTTTAGGCTATTTTATGGTAGGGGTGGGTAGGGTAATGTGACGAAAATTACAAATAAATGTAGAAGTCTCCCCTTATCGTGTCGACAATGTATTTACAGTAATATTAATAAGAAGTCCCGTAATTTGTCCATGAGGTAATTTTCGCTAAAAATGTGGTGCGCAAACTAGCAAACCTATTCAATTTACTTGTGTTTCAGCAGTGCCAGAGCGAAGATGAGTGGAAAATAAAATCAGGCAAACAGTTTTTGGTACCTCGCGTTTTTTTCTTTTGCGCCCTTTGAGAGTATAACCGTTTTTGCTCCAAGTCTACCTTGTAGGGTGTCGTGACGAACTTTTTTTATTCAAGAATTTTAATTGTTAGCGGTGATTATTTGTAAAAAAATATAGTAATACCAGATAACATTTACTGCTGCAGTTTTATTGTTGTTTTTAATAGTGACGTCACTGCACTTTGACCATTTTTTTTGTAAGTTTGGGTATTATCTTATTACGAATCGTTCGTCACCTTACCCTACACTTCCCTATCATTTTAAAGTATGTCATTCTCAGTTACGAATAGGAAGCAGTGGTTCACCCAAAAATTATTTCATTTTTATAGAGCTTTTATTAAAAAGTAAAATAAGTGACTGTACAATCATAAGTAAGATAAGTAAGAGAACCCACACAGATTCAACACACCTGGAAAAATTCTTAAGAATTTATTCATTCACCAAATGAGATAGGCATTTCCCAAATACTTTTCCTAATTCAGAAATAATTTTTGCTTATATCAATTTTAATTTATTAAATGAAATACATCATAAAACGAATCAATCTAATTATAATATATTTTTCTGCGTGTGGATGACGTGTGTTTGCCAGCCGGAAAAAGTGCAACAAATTAGTTGGCGACGGTTTGTTTGGTCTGTCGGTGGGTCCCGGTGTTTGACACGCTCACTGCTTTAATTACGGGTAATCCGAGCCAGCGTCATAGGCTGTCACTTCGGGGAAGTCGTTCAGTAGAGCCGCCGCCGCCATCGGTTTATGTAAAAGCGTGTGAAAAATGCTAATTCGGTTCCCACAACCGACTTTTCCACTCGACTGCGGTTTCCCGGCCCCTTCGGAACTAGAAACTGGGGCAACTAGTTAGTCGGGGGTCTAACCCTAAGTGGATTGTGTCATTCCCCCGGCATTTTCTCTTTCTCGCTGCCCCTCGGTGTCTAATAACAGGAAATATATCTACAAGTATTTGACTCGGGCAGCCAAAAAATTCCAGCTCGGGGGCAACACGAAATTACTTTAGAAATTCTACCGAAGCAATCAGGGAGAAAAGAAAGAAAACAAATGAACCCGAGGAGCTTACAAAAGAAAACAGAGACCAATAAGCAGTCGGGAAAACTGCTTTTGGCAGACAGATTTTTCAAGTTTGCAGGGGGGAATTGGGGAATAGTTGGGAGCGGGTCTGTGGTACACCGACAATTGCAGCATGACCACAAAAAAAACAAGACAGAAAGCTAGCTTCGGCCAGCCGAAGCTTATATACCCTTGCAGATCGTTCCTATTAACTTACAAATCGCAAAAATGTTAAATTTCGTATTATTTTAATATTATTTTTCTATCCTTCCCTATTGCAGCTATTTAATATAGTCGTCCGATTTTTGTTAAATTTAATTCAAAACCCTGAAATATTAAAAAAAATCATATCCTAGAGTATAAGAAAATACAATAAAAACCAACGGAGCTATAATTTGTTTCCAATTAATTTCCCATTAGTTTTTCGATCGTTCCTATGGCAGCTATATGATATAGTCGTCCGATTTTGATAAAATGAAAATTGAAATTCGGAAATATTTAAAAAGAGTCATGTTCTAAAGTAGAAGAGAATCCAATAAAAACCAAAAAAGCTAAAATTTATTTTTGAGTAACTTTCCCATTAATTTTCCGATCGTTCCTATGGCAGCTATATGATATAGTCGTCCGATTTTTGAAATATTTTATTCGAAATTCTGAAATATTTAAAAATATTATTTCCAAAGTAGAAGGTTTTATTTCAAAAAACACAAGCTAGATTTTTTACGTTTCCTTCCTATGGGAGCTATAAGATATGTTATCCGATCCGGTTGGTTCCGACTTATATACTACCTGCAATAGAAAGAAGATTTTGGGAAAGTTTCATCGCGATAGCTTCAAAACTGAGAGACTAGTTTGCGTAGAAACGGACGGACAGACGGACAGACGGACGGACACGGACAGACGGACATGGCTAGATCGACTCGTCTAGTGATGCTGATCAAGAATATATATACTTTATGGGGTCGGAAACGTCTCCTTCACTGCGTTGCAAACTTCTGACTGAAATCATAATACCCTCTGCAAGGGTATAAAAATAAAAACACGGCTCTAAGCGGGAAGCAAACAGGCACAGCCGCTCCTCCGGTTCACCAAAACCCAAACATACCGATATCATTTCCCTGCCCCGAGTGCCCCTGAGTTTATTGCTCTATCCCAATAACCAAACTTGATTCCCTTGCATTGGCGCGTGAGTGACCGTTTTATCTTTTCAAAGTACATAATCATTTTTTGAGCTCACTATTTTTTTCATACCGTGTAATTGTGGGGTGTTTAGAAAAGTGGTTTAGTTTATAGTTATTATGTTAATATTTATTACAATTAAATTTTCTATAGGATTCCTAACTATTTTGTGCAATACTTATGCTAAATTGATACTTTCCTTAATTGCTGATCTTATCATAAAAGTTATTTGAACCCCCTATAATCTATCTGAAATCTGATAAATGCCAAAATGTAATCGATCTTTTATAGATAAACAGGGTATCTCTAGATCAACCCTCACCGCCTTTCGATTCTCGCCCGTTTTCTCTTTATGAATTCTCGTGTTCGATCCAAGTGTGTGTGTACATATGGGCATGTTTTTTGGGCATTTGGGGGAAAAGTGGAAAAGCTGAATGATCACTGTAATTGCGGGTACGTGCGAGTTGTGGAAAAGCTTTCCTACTTTTCTACTTTTCACTTTGCCCAGCATGGATGCTTTTATAGGGGGTGAGGATGTAATTGTTGTGGTTGCCATTGTTGCTGTTGATGCGGCAGAAATAATTTGTGATTTTATGCTTGGCCGAGCGTATTTGTTAATATTTTGGTTATTATTACACATGGAAAAGTGGTTGGGCCGAGAAACGCCCGCGGTAATTAAGTGGGTATGTAGAGAAAACCCAAGTGGTTAAGCGATAGGAGTTTTCTGTGCAACAGTCCATGCAATTAAATCCTCCAGTTTCGACACTATCCCAGGTAATCCCAGTGGACGTTCGGGTTATGCAACAATTGACACTCGGTATTGACTTGCAATCTCGGATTATGTTGTTCCCAAAATGGTTTCAATTTCCCGGCTCACCGTTTAGACAGAGCAATTTCCTTGGCCTGGTCAGTTTTTCCACTTACTTTTCGGTGTCTAGGCACTCTTGATTTCGAACGCACCACAGTAAAAAGCAAACGTGTTTCGTATCTCACGGATGCCGCTTGCAAAACGAACCAGTCCCCATCTGCATCCGAGTCTCGGTTACATTTGCAGGCGGAGTCACTGGGTGAGCATCATCATCCAAGGCGATTTGGCACACGCTCGGCAACCAGTTAAGACAATACCCCATCTGATTATGAAGTTGCCGTGGAGCGGCATCAAATTGCAGGCCTCTCGATGTCTACGAACTGCAACTGCGATTGTATCTTAACTGGGCCTCTGTGTTAGGGTGTCATTTGGTTGTGGGGCAGGTGCAAACTAGATTTGCCAGTTGGATAATACAATTCAAAGGGGGAGTTTCAGGCGCCGCCCCAAAAGTTTATTGAGTCTTAGTTTGCAGTTAGAGGAAATCGACTCTCGATTGATTGCCACTCTCGATCGCTATAGAGTAAAAGTGCTGGTTTCATTCTCCATCTAATGGAGGCCATTACCTCGCCGCCATCACCATTATCGTGGACTAACACTTATCGCCGGCGGTGGTGCTACGCACAAACGTGTTCAAATGCATTTCCGCCTGCTCACCTATCAGATACATATGTATCTTGGCTGTCTCTGTTTGTTTTTGTTTGTCAATTGATTAGCAAACTGCATTCTTCAGCGAGCTAACTCCAAAAAAACTACAAACCAGAAACAGAGACAGAAAAAGGAAAAAAATAAACAATAAATACATGAATATCTTGTTGGCTTATCGTGAATTCTTGCAGATCCGCACTGCATATTTTAAGCCAACTTGCATTATGCAATCGCAGAAAAAAATACTGCATTCGTATATCTGTCGAGTGTGAGATACGAGGGTGCTGAAAACGTGCGGCGACCACAAAAATCCAATACCCCGCACAAGGTTTGACCCGAAGTAGGTGGCCCACCCAGTGCAAAGCGAGTCCAAGAAATGAAAGTCACCATTGGTAATTTGAGGTATGATCAAAAGCCAAATTACAAAATTATTAGAGCCAGTTTTGGTGGAATGTTGGTCGGCACCGAAGGCGGCATACCTTTTGTATGGCCTATTAAAGATAACGGCAGTTTTGGGGAAAGTAATGACTTCACTTAGGCAAAATTATCGCTTTAGGTCAAAAGATAATTATTAAATATTAAATTTATAATGCCATTGTTATTCTTTTACTTAAAAATACTAATTTATTTTATTAACAATTCCAACAATATTATTTTGTTATAATGAAACATTCCTTTGATTGTTTCTATAAATACGGAGTAACTTCATTTAGTCTTTCCCAATACTTTTAAATATTAACAGAGCCAATAATTTTTCTTTTAATTTTTTGCTTTTTTAATTACATTTTTAAGTTTATTTAGTTTACAGTATTATAAGTCAATAATGTAGGTATACAGACATAATCTTTTTGCCATTTCGAGCTCTTATTATTATTTAAAACTCGTTACTGAACTATAAAACAATTGTTTGCACAAAAGTAACGACAAAAGATAAACAATTTGATAGGTAATTTGATAATAAGTCCAAGTTCGTGACTGACTCAATAATTGCATTTATCTTGGACTTTAAAGTGGTCTTTTTACGATCTCGAGAAGTCTGGTTTCGATGAGTAATACTAGATTATATCTAATCTTTCATGTAAACTTAAAGAGTACTAATTCTCAGTCTGGTCTAATTTTGATAAAACTATTTTTGCCAACTTTGTGTTCACCCCAAAAATAACCCATATACGTTGCTATTAATAATCTCATCTTCCCACATTCACAACAAGGCTTTGATCCATCTCCTCTTTTTTTTGGCCAAAATAAAACAAACTACTGTGAGTGAAAGGCATTGCCACAAACTGCGTGGGAATTGGGCTATTGGTGTACATTGTCTTGGCGCTGCAATGAAAGCCGTGAAGCAATTCCGCATAAAATTATGAAACGTGACGACCCCGTACTACACATGTTGATAAGATGTCGAGCATGCAATCTCAGCTAGAACTACCATTCCAACTCCCACTGCTACTCCCCCTTCCCCCTGCCAATTCCACTAAAAAACCTGCGAAACACCTGGGCGGAACTGGAAACTCACCTTTCAGCTGGAAGACGGGACTGCCGACGGGCGTGTTTTCCGAGAGGCTGAAGCGGGACATATCGCCCGTTCCGGGGACGAATTGCGGTGGGTGATTTACCAGCTGGCCGGCGGTCAGGCTCAGAAAAAGTAGCAACAGCAGCGGCAACATGTTGCCGTTGCTAATTTCCAGTGCCGTTAGCTATCCGTATCCCCGTTAGGTATCCAAGTTTTCGACGGTGTTTACTCCGAGTATTTAGCACATGTAGAACGACACAGTTTCAATTTTCTTTCTTTTTTTTCGGTTTAATTTTCTGCTTTTTCACTCGGCTCTGCTCGCGTTCTTGGACTGGGCGAAATGCAAAACAAACTCTGGTTATTTATTGGGCCCGAAACAATGATTTTTCAATGCTAGCTGCAACGCCCCCCTAAGTTGGCCTTGGTTTTTCGGCTCAAATGAATGGGAATGTGCTGAGACTTAAGCTGAGCTTGCAGATTTGCTTGTCTTTGGCCTTGCCATTTGAACTTTTGCCAGCTCTCGATCGCATTCCATACAAAATAACGACAAAAACACAGATATTCCGCCGAGATCGAAAAGAAATTTAGTGGCGAACAGAAGATTTCACTTTATGCACATGTGAAAAGTGGCACATGATGATGAGGCGGCTGCTGTCTGCCAGTTCCGATCATTGGGCACTTCTTGGCGATTGGCAAATGCGGCGATGATGATGGCTTTCTTTTGGTACCAACACTACGAGCAAAACGAAATGTGCAAAAGCGGCTAAAACAAATAAACACACAGGCAACACGGACTGGTTCAGGTAAAGTCAGTTAGTATAGTCAGTCGTATGGTAGGTATCTATGGGTTCTTGTTTTGGCCAAAAAAGAACAGCAAAAAGAGAGGTAAATAAAGGAGAAGGAAAGAGCAAAGCAAGGCGAGGCGAAAAACAGGAAGCAACTGCAGCTCGGAGGGGCAAATAGCTCTTTCGAAAAAATACTATAATTAACACTAATGTGGAATGAGCATTTCGGGTAAAACTATTCCACACTTTATGGGTATTTTTGGTTTTGGCCAACGCACGCAAAAATCACACACACACTCGAAACCGCAAAACGGATGACGCTAGGGTCCGAAACTTGATCTTGCGACTTCTTGTTGTTGCTGCTCTGGGATCTCTGGTGTATTTTGTATATAGTATCTCGCGGATAACCGAATCGGATCGAGTTTGAAGCGCGACAACGTCTGAACGGAGCGACGCTCGCTTACCTTCTGGCCGGACTTACCTGTTGCCGCCCGTTCTTGGCTCTCGAAAGAGAGACTCGGCCCCGAATACTGGTTTTCTGATTTTGCCGGTTCTGTTTTGCCGCGGGTTTCGCGCACGCGCAATGGAATTGGCAATGAAAATGGTTAATTTAGTGGGAAGTCTACTTTTGGGCTGCAGTAAAAAAGTATTTTTTAGGAATATAGGAGCCTACTTTAGTGGACAACAAGGAAGCATAATATTTACTGATTTATCCTCAACATCTAGATATAACTAAAAAACAATTATTAAGAAAGTAAATTATTACATTCAAAGATTGTTTCAAATGCTAGTTCTTAAGACGAAACATATCAAAAATAGAAAAGTTGTCTACTAAAATTAGGAAGCAGTCACTTCAGCATAATCGATAAGATATTGTCTTTAGATAAAACATTTGTAAGCTAGTTTTTAATGATTAAGTAATAAAATAAAAGTAATTCAATAAAATTTCTAAAGTTTGGTTGCATACTTTTTGAATACCACTTTTCCTTTCACCTTGCAATCAAGTGAAGAGTACTCTTCATTCCTAATTAACTTATACTTGTTTAAACTTTTGAGTCATAAGAATTGTGTAAGCATTAAGTACTAAAGGAAAATCCTCTGTTGATTTAGATTGAGATACGTATTTATATAAAACATACAATTTACCTATATTTCATTACATTTTTAAGGGCAACCGAATCGTTGCTATGTGGAACTGCTATCCCTAACTTAGTCTAAGTACAGCTAGCGTAGTTAGTGGTTAGAGAGCATCGTCCACCTGAAACTGTATCAGATCCTCGACGGGAAAGCGAAAGAGCGAGGCTGTCTGGGCCTCGGCGGCCAACTGTTCGATATTGGCGCTCTTCTGGTAGCGATAGTGCTCGTCAATCGGAGTTTTCCTATAGCGATGATCCTGCCGAATGCTGGCCAAGGACACAGGATCGGGCAGTTCAGCCGCCACAATGGGATGCTCAAAGTCGATCAGCGGCAGGTGATCGCTGCGGGAAATGGTACTCGAGCGATTGCCAGCCTGCGATTGCAGATGTTGCTGCTGTAACTGCTGATGTTGCTGCTGTAACGGCTGATGTTGCTGCTGTAACGGCTGATGTTGCTGCTGGGTTTGATTGAGCGATGTTTGAGTGACATTCCCATTGACTGCCTGTCTGGGTTCTATGGGACTGGGCGGATTGGGTGGCGGCAAATCGTTCGAGTTGCGTTGCATATTGTGGTTGTAGAAGGGATTGGTGGAGGCGCGAATGGTGGCAGTGGGCTTTTGCTTGGGGAACACGTTCAGGTGCAGCATAATGGGATTCGTTTGGCTTTCCACTTGACCCTGTCCTTGAACAGGATTCTGGCCATAAATGGGTTCATCCGGATGCACGCTTTTCGGCGGCGGCGGATACTTGTGGGCCTGGGCCTGATGATACAGCGCCTGCTGCTGACTATATCGAGTGGCCTGATCGGGAAAGACCACCGGTTGTTGGGTGGGAAACTTGAAGGGCGTCTGGTAGATCCCATGACCCATGTTGTGGAAGGCGGCCGCTGTGGTGCCCGTCAAGGCAGCCGGAGAGGGCAGGGCGTACTCCTGCTGGAAGGGATGTCGCATTGCGGAGGCAGGACGCGAAGGCGGCAGCACGGGATATATATCCAAATTGACCTTGAAGGGAACCCTCTTCAGTTGCGGCTGCCTGGTGGCATTCAGCGTGAGCACAGGCGGTGGAAAGTGTTGCACAAAGGGATCGGCCACAAAGTGCTGCTGGCTGCCATGCTCTAGTAACTGTCTGCTGCTGTTGCAGTTGCTGTTGCTGCTGCTGCTTTTTTCTTCTTCTTAGACAGCGGCTTGCCACTTCCCAGTGGCTGCATGGCCAGCAAATTAATATCCTGCGGCGATCGCGGCTTGTAGGGATACAGCTGATCGATGGCCACCCTTTGGTGGGGCATCCCACCCGGATTGTACCACTGCATCGGCATGGGCATGGCCATGGGAAACATGGGCATGGGAATGCTGAACTGCATCTGCTTCTTGTTGCGTTTGCCCCGAAAGAAGTTGCCTATACCGCTAGACTTGAGGTTCTTGAAGCTGCCGGCTATGTGCAGACCCGTGGGCATCATCACCATGGGCGGCAGTTTGCTGGGCGTCAATCCGCCAATGTGCAGATGTTGCAAGATGTCCTGGATGTTGTTCAGCTCCGGACGAACCTCGCCCTTGGTGAACTGCTCGGGCATGGGACCGTCGTAGGGAAAGTGAAAGGGTTTGGGCTTGAAGGCCTCCTCCTGACCACCGCGCAGAGCTCGCGATCCCGGGGTTTCGGAGTACTGACGTCGCAGCAAACCCTTCGTAGGCGCAGGGGGCGGCGAGGGCGAGCCCAAGGACATCTGCATGTCCTGGGTGGTGAGGCGCGGCGGGCGTGGCATCTGATCACGCAGCAGCCCCCTTAGCGGCGTCATGGTCGCCGATCGCTTGGGCAGACGCTCGTAGACATGCCCATCGTCCGGTTCGTGCGACGCTGTTGCGTGTTGCTGCCGTTGCGCTTTCGTGCGCCACGTCCCATAGATGGGCGCAACATGGCTGTCGGCACGCTCCAATAAGTAGGCGGTCTCCCCACCGCCGCCGGCAGCAGCACCCGCCCCCTGCGTCGCCTGCATCTGCTGCAGATGCAGCTGCAACTGATGTTGCTGCTGGCGCAGATACTGTTGCTGCTGCTCGTGCTGCAGTTGCTGCAACTTGGCCCGCATCTTCTCGATGTCGCTGTCGCCCTCTGAGATCTCCTCCGGCTCCGTGGCCGATGGCTCGTCTGCCGTGGAATCAATGTCGTTCGGGGATTGCTGCTGTAGATGTTGCTCCTGTAGATGTTGCTGATAAAGAGTTGCTGCGGAGGCGACCTTCACTACCATGAGAGACATCTGCGGGGTATCAAAGATTATAAAAGATATTTCATCGTGTAATTTAAAGCCAAATTGCATATTGGGGGATATACAATTACAGATTTGTTTCATCATTTCAAGATTATCAAGTAATTGTAAGGGAAAATATGAAATTGCATCTTGAAAGATTTACAATTGCTGTTTGTTCTTTTAAACTGAAATTTCACTTTTACTTATTCATTAATATATAGCAAGTTTTTTAACTTCTTTATCCTTATCCTTAACTTACTATTGTGTACCCCAGGATCAGGCCCATAATCCACCGCCTGCCTTTCGTTGAGCCTGGATCCCGTCGCGTTCGAGTGTCTCGTTGTCCTTGACTGACTGCCGACTGCATGAACATCTTTCTGGAGTCCGCTGCTCGAACCACTCGGCTTGCCTATCGCTTTATAAATGTGGGCCTGAGCTTCTGCCTCATCGCGGATCGCAACGATGACTGAGTGCAGGCGGGCGCTGGCGGCGCCTAAAAAGCGTTGGTTATATTGGCCCAAGTGCAACAGCTTAATTAGAAAGTTTAATACAGTTTGGCTGCGAAAGCAAAACAGCCAACTGCAGACAAATAAATTAATTGCTCAGGCGAATTCGTGCTCACAGGCATGTGGAAACGAAAGAGATATTAAAAAACGCATTGACCATGAAAATCTGAAGATCGCACCGAAGTAACTAGAAATATCTCGAGGGTGTAATAAATCCGAAGAGGATATGCTCTGGCGGATGAGTTGATAAGAATACAAACGAGGGATACAATTTTTCAAACGGCTCTGTATATAAGAGACTATAAGAAAAATAGGCATCTTAAGACTTAACACAAAAATTCTTTCCAATAATTATTTTTAACCAATACTTAGCAGAAAGTTAATTTGATTTTTTGGTTTATTTCCAAATGAATAGTATGAATAGTATGAACTTACAAAAGCGAATATTAGTTGTATTATTTTAAGTATCACAACTTTTTAATATCTGTCTTAATGGTATAATTTGTATCTTTTAATTTTAACCGGAGGTTAAATTAATATTTAATATTTTGATGAATCTAGACTATGGTAAGTCCCATTTTTAATTAAAAACTGATATGTTTTTAAATTTACAATCCTTATCATAGCTAACGATGAATGAAAACTGGTAAACAACAGAAGTGAATGTCAAGGTTAACTTGCCTAACCTTTACTCTTGCGTTTTATTGCTTGTGAGTAACAAGCTCCTTAGCATAGTCGTAAAAACCGACATTTATGGTAACCGTAAAAAGATGAGCGACTAACAAGACCACAATATCTCCCGGACATGATATGCTCCCATTTCCCGTTTGCCAAAAAGGAAAAGAAAATGCGTGCATGTACTTGAAAAATGTGTTTTATTGTTTAAGCTTGAGAAATCCCAGGAAAGTGTTACATATGTCCAGCCAACAAGACCATTTCCCCTAAACCAAAAAACAAAAGAAAATGCTTGTAAATATTCGAAAAACTTATTTTATTGTTTCAGGTTTCAGCGATCCGAATAAAAGGTTTATTTAATCGTAATATAGAGCTATATAGTCTTGAGCTGGCGTCCGTCACAGACGACGGCCGCCCATCGATCGTGGCATAGTGGTAGAACATAGCAAGAGTTGGATAGACTGTTAGCTGTACAATTGGGGCACTCATTTACAATGATCCCTAGCTGTATGAGTATGCGATTCATTAATTACAAAAATAAAATAAAAACAAACAAGTGTCGTCCTTGCAGGCGCCCCAGTGGCGCCCTCTAGCACCGCTGGCGGCGTAATCGTGTAACGTTAGACTGTACGAGTATTGACTAGATCAATCTAGCCCTAGACGAAGGCCCTATCCCTAATCATCCCTAGACCTCGAATCTCGCATCTAGAAGTTGAAGGGGATGCTGGGCACGGGGTACTGGTAGCCCTGGTGCTTGGTTGGCGGGGGTGGCACGTACACGGTGGTGCGCACGGTCGGTGGTGGCACGTACACGGTGGTCCTGCGGGTGGGTGGTGGAGGTGGGCGGGTGGTGCGGACGGTGACGGGTGGCAGGTAGGTTGGTGGTGGGGTTGGGGGGCGAGTTGGGGGACGGGTTGGTGGGCGAGTGGGTGGTGGAGGAGGGCGGGTGGTGCGCACCGTCACGGGTGGCAGATAAGTGGGTGGTGGGGTTGGTGGGCGAGTTGGGGGACGGGTTGGGGGACGAGTGGGTGGCACAGTAGCACGGGTGGTGCGAACAGTCACTGGGGGCAGTGGCTTGTTGGTGGGTGGCAGGTAAGTGGGAGCAGGAGTCGTCAGACGACGAGTGGTGGGTGGGTAGGTTGGGGGACGAGTTGGTGGTGGTGGTGGGCGAGTGGTGCGCACAGTCACGGGGGGCAAGTAGGTGGTTGGTGGCCTAGTTGGTGGCCTCGTGGGAGGCAGAGTAGGACGAGGAGTAGTCCTGATGGTGGTGCGCACGGTCACTGGGGGCAGTGGCTTGTTGGTGGGTGGCAGGTAAGTGGGAGCAGGAGTCGTCAGACGACGAGTGGTGGGTGGGTAGGTCGGGGGACGAGTTGGTGGTGGGGTGGCACGGGTGGTGCGCACCGTCACGGGAGGCAGGTAGGTGGTTGGTGGCCTGGTTGGGGGCCTAGTTGGGGGACGAGTGGGTGGTGGAGGAGGACGGGTGGTGCGCACGGTCACTGGGGGCAGTGGCTTGTTGGTGGGTGGCAGGTAAGTAGGAGCAGGAGTGGAGGCACGGGTGGGTGGGCGAGTGGGTGGTGGAGGAGGGCGGGTGGTGCGCACGGTCACTGGTGGCAGTGGCTTGTTGGTGGGCGGCAGGTAGGTTGGTGGAGGACGAGTCGGTGGACGAGTTGGTGGTGGGGGAGGACGGGTGGTGCGAACCACAGGGGGCAAGTAGGTGGTTGGTGGACGAGTTGGTGGCCTGGTGGGTGGCAGAGTGGCACGGGTGGTGCGAACAGTCACTGGGGGCAGTGGCTTGTTGGTGGGTGGCAGATAAGTGGGAGCTGGAGTCGTCAGACGACGAGTGGTGGGTGGGTAAGTTGGGGGACGAGTTGGTGGTGGGGTGGCACGAGTGGTGCGCACAGTCACGGGAGGCAGATAGGTGGTTGGTGGGCGGGTTGGTGGCCTGGTGGGTGGCAGAGCTGCACGGGTGGTGCGCACGGTCACTGGTGGCAGAGGCTTGTTGGTGGGTGGCAGGTAGGTGGGAGCTGGGGTCGTCAGACGACGGGTGGTGGGTGGCAGGGTTGGTGGACGAGTGGGTGGTGGTGGAGGACGGGTGGTGCGCACAGTCACGGGCGGCAGGTAGGTGGTTGGTGGCCTGGTTGGTGGCCTCGTCGGCGGCAGAGTTGGACGAGGAGTGGTGCGGATGGTGGTGCGCACGGTCACTGGAGGCAGAGGCTTGTTGGTAGGCGGCAAGTAAGTTGGAGCCGGAGTGGACGCACGGGTTGGTGGTGGTGGAGGCCTGGTTGGTGGCCTAGTCGGTGGTGGCGTTGGACGACGGGTGGTCACTGGTGGCAGTGGCTTGTTGGTGGGCGGCAGGTAGGTTGGTGGAGGACGAGTCGGTGGACGAGTTGGTGGTGGGGTGGCACGGGTGGTGCGCACAGTCACGGGCGGCAAGTAAGTGGTTGGTGGACGAGTTGGTGGCCTGGTGGGTGGCAGAGTGGGACGAGGAGTAGTCCTGATGGTGGTGCGCACGGTCACTGGGGGCAGTGGCTTGTTGGTGGGTGGCAGGTAAGTGGGAGCCGGGGTCGTCAGGCGACGGGTGGTGGGTGGGTAGGTTGGTGGACGAGTCGGTGGTGGAGGAGGACGGGTGGTGCGCACCGTCACGGGCGGCAGGTAGGTGGTGGGTGGCCTGGTTGGTGGCCTCGTCGGCGGCAGAGTTGGACGAGGAGTGGTGCGGATGGTGGTGCGCACGGTCACCGGGGGCAGTGGCTTGTTGGTGGGCGGCAAGTAGGTTGCCGGTGGCCGAGTGGGCGGGCGAGTGGGTGGCCTAGTCGGAGGCCTGGTGGGTGGGCGCGTTGGCGGCCTCGTGGGTGGCTGGGTGGTGCGCACGGGCAGATCGAACGGCACCTGGCGGGGTGGGGTAGAAGTATCCCTCGGCGGCACGAGTCTTGCGCTGAAAGGGGATGGCAAATGAGTTCCTGTGAAGGGAGGATCAAGAGATCTTCCGACTTACCTCATGGGAATCGGCCGAGGCGGAGGCCACCGCCACAGCGCAAAGCGCCAAAACGAACAGTGCACTTCTCTGCAAGGGGAAGAGAGAAAGGGTGGGTTAGTGGTGCTTCAGTCTTCGGTGGTGTCGTGGTGCAGAGGTGCTCAGACTAACGACTAACTCTAACAACCTGATTGCGACTAATTGATCGCCTTCTAGGCTAATCGCCTCTTCACGCTTCGCGGCAACTTGGCCTACAGTTCAAAACTGTGGCAAAGTTCAGCCAACAAAGCCGACGAAACGATTTGCGATAATGCATTGAAAATCACCCGAAATGCTAACGCAGACATTCAACTTTGACAGGCATTAGCATCTCTAGGTCAGTCCCCTCCCCCGAAGCGATGTAAATCCCAGAGATTCGATTGATACATAATGCCTATGCAAATGCGAGTCGACACAAGAGATATACAAGCTCAATTGGGGACCCGAGGAAGCAGCCCCTGAATTATGGCTTCCGACGATGCTGTCAGCAGGTTCATTTGCATTTGTTTCGGCAAGGTCATTGCTAGTTAATGAAAGTGCTCGTCGATGGCCGCAGCTGGTCGATGAGCTCAATTAATTTGGCCGGCGGAGAATTTTCGGGGGTCGATAAAAATAACCGATTATGCCAGAAAAGTAGAAACCGGCCCCGGGGATCCGGCCAATCAAACTCCAGACCAGTTCTAGCCATGATTATATAATAATAATCAGCCAAGACAGGCCATAAAACTAGTGAGAAAATCCGAAATTAGCATACGCATCTGCCATAAAAAAAAGAATAGACTGCCTCGGGTGTCATTTATAACCAAATCTTTCGGATTATTGACCATACCTCCAAAAGCGACTGGGTCTAGTTTTTTTGCGTTTTTTTTTTCATTCCTGATTGTTTGCTAATTTCAACAAATTTTTTGACTTTTGTATGTAAATGATTTTAAATAATTTATGCTAATGAACCTGACATTTTTGCTGTTCTAACTTGTTTTAAATATCATCGGATCAGCTACAATTTGACTTTTAAGAATTTCGCTACACTCAGAAAAAAACCCCAAAATTTTAAAAAAACCCCCTAATTTAAAAAACTCCATAAAAAAAAAAAAAAATATTTTTTTTTAAAAAAATTTTTTTAAAAAAAAAAAAAAAAAACCAAAAAAAAAAAAACACCCTCTTTTTTCCCTTTTTTAAAAAAAATTTTTTTTTATAAAAAAATTTTTTTAAAAAAAAAAAAAAAAAAAAAAATTTTAAAAAAAAATAAACAAAAATCAAATAAGGGTTAAAAAAAGTGTTATAATTTTTTTTTTTTTCTTTTTTTATCGTATTTTTTTTTTCCCCCCCCCTAAATTTTTTTTTTTTTTTTTTTTTTTTTTTTTTTTTTTTTTTATTTAAAAAAAAAAAAAAAAAAAAAAAAAAAAAAAAAAAAAAAAAAAAAAAAAAAAAAAAAAAAAAAAAAAAAAAAAAAAAAAAAAAAAAAAAAAAAAAAAAAAAAAAAATTTTTTTTTTCTCCCTTCCTTATCTTTTTTATTGTTAAATTTAAAAAATTTTTTAAAAGAAAAAAAAACCAAACGGAAAAAAAAAATACCACAAAAATAAAAAAAAAAAAAAAAAAATTAAATTTAAAAAAAAAAAAAAAAAAAAAAAAAAAAAAAAAAAAAAAAAAATAAAAAATAAAAAAAAAAAAAAAAAAAAAAAAATAAATTAAAAAAAAAAATAAAAAAAAAAAAAAAAAAAAAAAAAAAAAAAAAAAAAAAAAAAAAAAAAAAAAAAAAAAAAAAAAAAACCCCCCCCCCAAACCGATTTTTTTTCTTCTTCTTATTCAATTTTGCAAAAACTAACCCTAAATTTAAGAAATTTTTTTTTAATTTTTAGAATTATTTTGCTAAAAGGGGGTAAAAAATATACCAAATCGGGTTTGACTTATGTGCGGGGGAATTTAGAGCCAAGAAAGTGAAAGGACTTCGAGATACTCGCAAAGACAAAACGCTTCCCTTGACTATTCATTATGCTAATTGGCTGCTAATTAATCCGATTCACACCGCATCGAGGGCAGAGCCTCAATGCCAAGACTTCGGGGCAATCAAATTAGTCCGAAACTGTGAGAGATTCGGCTGAAATTGAAGTGTGGGGAAAAGACCCTTCCTACGGCAACATTGTCTTCGATTAATGGGCGGCTGTTCAATGGCAACATCAAGAATCTAACTTAAGGCAAACGTTTTTAATGGCTATTTACCTAAATACGCCAATCGCAAATTGCCTCTCGCAAATGTCAGAAGCAAAGCGAAAATTATGGAAAAAAAAACAAGTTTTAATTTCATCTTCACCCATGTCAATGCTGACATAGAAACGACCGCCACATGGCAGAATGGCAGAATGCACATGCAGCTGGTCCATCCTAATGACTTAATACGCAAATTGCGGATCGCACCAAGGCGACTCGGCTCCGTGGGCGGCCCACACGGCGCATGCGTAACATTGCACTCGATGCCACTTGCTTAATTTCTACGCGGCTTAAATGTCAACTGCCAGCTGGTCAACTCAGCCTCAGCTCAGCCCGAGATGATAGACCGGGTCCAGAGCTGGACCCTCTCCAAGATGTGAAATGCAAATAGATGGCGATTGAATTGGAACTGCAGTCGTCATTGGCAATTTATTTGCTTTTTCTTCTTGTTTGCGGTGCTCTGGTATGCACAGGGAAAAACACTTGCCGTATTACAATAGTAAACAAATTAAAATAAACCCCTACCAAATACAATTATGCTATCATCATAAACTCGATATACTAAATTTAATTTATTTGAAACCTATACATACATATAGCCTATTCATCATTTTATAAAATCTCAATACTCAATCTTAATGCGATCAAAAACCGTATGAAAAATACAAGACTTTTTCGTTTTTACTAAAATAAACATGTGCTCTTAATTCTAACGATTTTTCTTATGCACCATCTATCAATTAAAATTCAGTTGATATTGTAAGTTAGTTATTATTTAGCACATGTTTATTGATGTTTTAATCTATAGGTTGAAAATAAAAATATGTTTAATTTTAAGTCAAATGGGCAAATCTTGTTTATTTAAAGTAGCACTTTTAAGTTCATTCCTTTTTAAGCACAATAAACTTTCTCTTACAATGCGGAACTACGAAACTGAAGATCTTTCTCTCTCTGGATTTCAAAGAATCACTTTTATGTTGTTAAAATATCCTTATCTAGTACAAGAGTTTGTAAAACTCCCTTAATATTCCAAACTACAAAAAACTGTCAATCTTCCTCTCTCTACATTTTTAAGTATCACTTTTATGTTCCGTAAATATCCTTTTCTAGCACAAATTTAAAACTAAACTACTAAATAGATCATCTTTCTCTCTCTGCATTTCTGTTTCCTTTGCGAAATGTCTTATTTGTCTTGTCTTCACACCGAGGGACACTTGTTTCGTTATTTTTTTTGGCACTTTGCACACGATCATTGTTCGTTTTGGGTTAGATTGGATGGATGGAACTGGGTTCGGTTACCATGGTGTACACTTTTCGGACTGCTACAAACGGCAGTTGCAATAATCCCGGGGGTGCGTAGGTAATCCTTTGCGGTGCGTGCGTGTGCGTGGATAATCCTTGCGGACGGTACTGTGAGGATCGGAAAGGAGAAGACGCGACCGATCGTATCAAATTCAATGGACGATTGAATTTGATCGATGCCAAGCTAAGTTGGTTTAACTTCTAGGTCGAGTGTGGAATACCAACTAAAGCATCAAAACTTGTAGATTTTCTATATATACTCGGACCGCAGCATCTGCCCACCAAGGCAGCGGCGTCGGCAGAGGCATCTTCACCTGGGCGACAGCTGTTAACACACGGCCAAAAGCCGAAATCGAAAGCGTTTTGGCCAGATGAAGATGAGCCGCAGCCGCAGTCGCAGTCGCTGCCTCTGTTGACTGAGACGTCGGCGTTTAACTGCTGACCAGCCAACCAGTCTCAGTTGTTTGATGTTTTGTGAGTTAACAGAGCCAGATAACATGGCTAAGACAAAAAGGCAGCCCAAATTGAGGCCCAGTAATTATGGCAGCAGAAGAGCAACTACAATACCATACAAATTCGCCTCCGCCTGCTCTTGTTGGCATTTCTACTTAGCCAACTCCGATTGCGGGCAAATACATTCGTACTTTTTGGCAGAAGTCTTTGGCGAGTGTTAAACACGTTGTCGTGCAGCGTTTAATTTGGTAAATGGGTCCGAGCAGAGCCACCAGCGACCGGCCACCGAATTTCATCAATTCCATCAATCGCCGAGACAACTTGGCTCGCCGAGTCAAGGCTCCCATCGAAGCTTGAGCTCGCCAAGGCAAATAAGGCCGAGAAGATCAGGCGTTGGCTAATGGCAATTACCCGGGCGGAGTTCGGAGCAGCAGGCCTAAATGCAGTTGGCCGATTGGACGTGAACCGGTTGACTTGACTTGGCCAAAAATGCGTGCGCCCGGGGGTCAGCGGTTAGTTGAATGGAGTTGAATGTTAAGGTAGGCCTCATGCTCATCAGCTCATCTTTGACTCCCCGGCCGAATGACCTTTAAACGCACACTCGAAGATCGCTGATCAGTGCTGCATTCTGCGAGCGACTCCCAAACGAGTTTCAGCATTTGTCATCGCCTGCATTTCGCTTCTTTTCATAACTAGAATCCATTAATTCGCCAAGAGTCACGTCTAGATTTTAATGAACCAATCAGAGTGACGCCCACGGGCGGAGTCATGAGCCAGCCCAAAATAGAAATGACTTTGAACTCTTTCCGTCGGCCAAAAGGTGCGTGGTCACCTATAGGTGACTATAGTCAGGGCCCGAAAAAATTGAAAAAAACTGCGGAACACCCAAAAGGAAGTGCAGCCAGACGGAAGTCACCCCAGCGGCGGCCATCAGGCGGCACTTAGAGCCACAATTAATTCTTGGCTTTTATTGCATAATGGCTGGCTAACTATTCGGGTCATAACTTGCTTCGCACATCCCCACAAAGGCAATGACACTTGTCGACGACTGCTGACATTTCAAATTTGTCATTGCGGATAACTGAAGCGACTGAGTTGTTTTTATTATTTGTTTTAACGTACGTACTTCTCGAATACCGGCTAGAGGAAAAGCCTTTTTTTGTCGCCTCATCGGACATTGCAACAGACAATTATTCAACGTTTTTCCAACGCCGAGGAGCTGAGACTCCAACGAAGGACGTTTATGAAACCCAAACAGCCAAACATGTGCCTGTTCTAAACCGCATTCTAAACAAGTTGCCATTCAGATAAATTAAAAAAAATAAATTTGTTGATCTAGGGGAGTTTCGGCTTTTGTGTGGATCGCTATGAGCCTTTGTCTTCGGGTGCGGAAATCATGATATCTAGTTTTTCATTATGCTTTATCAGCGCAGAGATCTCGTCTATGGAACTATTTCCGAAAGGTGCTACAAACATTGTCTTGTCCAAATGGTATTTTTAATCATCAAAAACTTAGCAAGAAACCAGGTAAACAAATCTTAAATCATAATGTTAACTGAAAGTTTTCTGGTACACCTCACAAAAACCACTGCCAAAAACCGAACCTCTTCATAAATAAAATTTTAACAGCCCATATGTTGGTGCAAAAATTTGCGTGAGGTCATTTAAAAGTTGTAAATACTAACACGGCTTGTGGGGATCATTATTTAAATTCTAAGAAAAATTTAGCTTACAAAAATGTAGTTCTTAAATATAAACTAATTTTATTTATTAAAATTTATTAGAATGTATGGGAATCATTTGTTTAAACGAAAACATTTTTGAGGCAAAAAAGATTCATTGAGCTCACAAATGTCTTTGACTTTTGTTATTAAAAGCCTGTACCCCTTCAGGTAGACAATTAATATGGCTTATCTAATCCTAGAGCAAATTAAATACCCTCACGCACGGGCCATTAAAATTGAAATCAAGTCTCTTGGCAATAGGCACAAAAAACTTAACCACAGATCGTCTAATGAAAAGTGTTCGTTGAATACGAGAAAAAAGACCAAGAACAAGATGTCGCCACTGAATATTTATAAGCAGGCCAATGACTCTCTACCCACCCAGAAGATTCACGCATCTCTGAACGGATAAAGCCGCGTCTCCGAGTGCGTGGATATTCAAATTTTGCGGATCTTGTCTTCGAGGGAATCATATAAATTTCCGAGTCAAATGTCACGTCACCTGCGTCAGCGTTTTGTTGGAAGGGGAGAACAGAGCGCCGAAACATCGTTAATTGTGCTTATGATTTATGCAAATTTATCCCTATACATAACGCATTTGTCCGCGTCTCTCTGCCAAATTCTACATGGCTTCAGTCAAGGCGGACTATATTGTTTTCTGCCCAAGATTTATATTTATGTAAATCCGCCAGTCAAACAAACGCCCGACCCGACTAACTAGTTTCCCACATTGTTTCGCTTTTTTTGTGCTTAATTTGAAATTTGGCTAAGAGTTCTGGTCTAGGAAGTGGAAATACCTAAAGTTTTATGGAAGGCTCAAACTGGATTTTACAACGAGCCATATTTGAAATGGAAAGTTTCTAGAAAGGCGACTTTCATTGAACATCTGCTTATTATCTTCTAGTCAAAGCCGTCTTAAATACCCGATAAATCAAATAATTATTTAAAATTTGTTTTTTGCTGTTTCAAGGAAGTACAATGACTTTAAACTAAAATTTCTAGTATGGAAAATATGAAAAGACATATTTTAATCTTTATATTTTTGCGGAGCTAAAAATCCAACTTGATTCATATTTTTCATATATTTACCCCAAAATTGAACTAAATTCAAGTGAATATCCTTGGGTAAAAGCCATTTTTCATTCATTGGCACAATTAATCAGACTGACACAAAGTATTCGAATATCGATTAAGTCTTTTAAGCATATCTCCATATGCTGAATGGAAATAAATAAAGAGTGACTTATCGAACCGATGATCTGTGAAACATTCACCTTAAATTGACTGAGATCGAGCGATAAAGACAAAATTAATTCTTTCAACAAGATCTCGTTCGACTTTGCTTAAACAAAAAGAAGTACAGTTAGATGACTTCAATACAGAAATCCCGACCGTAAATTTATGAATATGATTTGGCAAAATGTACAATGTTTGCGATGCGATTGAATAATTGTTAACAGTCGCGTTCGCCAAATCGCATAAACAACTTGCTAACGGCATTTAGTTAATGGATATTCCAAGTCGACGAATAAATGGCGTTTGAAATTCATTTAAAATCTGTGAAATTTACTTGAAACAAAAACCTGCAGCCCGCTGCCAAATTAAAGGCGGTGCGGCGAGTGCAAAATAAAAAACGTGTTTTTCCCCCGCCAAAGACCCAGAAACAACAAAAATATTAATAAGCCTTATCAAGGACACCGGCAGGCGAGCGTTAACCAGTTTTTGGCCAGCAATTTATGGGCCACAATTGCGGGCCATTGCCATTGGAATCCTTGTCGCGCTAAATGAAACACCCAGACGATTTTTTGGGAACCGCTGAGGGTCACCATACCGCTGGGAACTGTTGGACAGGTAGCTTAAGCCATGAGACAGAACCGGTTGCACAGAATCTGTGCTCTGGCCATTACATAACCGAGTGACCCTTGAAAGTTTAACCAACTCGACGGGCATTTTAAAGCGAAAGTGGCGGGCTTAACCAGAATTTACACGATTCCGAGAGCGTTATCATTAATCAGGCTAAGATCGTTGAAAAACCGAAGCCGAATTGAGCCCCTTATTCACTTGAGGCGACACCCCGTCTCAAGATCAACTCGACCCCATGCTTCGTGGGTCAAAATATGAAAATACGAAACGGAAGGCACTCGAAATGGAACTTGAGCTGATGGCTCACATCAAGACCTGATTAATGGCCATCTCGAGAGTGCACTTCACCCCTGCCATCTCGGCCGGCAAATTAGCCCACTTGGGCATGAGATATACAGCGGCTAACAATCGGAGGCACAAACATTTTGGAGTGCAAATAAAAACTGAAATTGGAGCAGTTCGACTCACACGCGTCGACGGCCACAAGGCTGCTTAAGGCCAAAATTAAATTCAAAATTAAATATACACAAATGAGATAAATATAATGTATGAATTGGAGCTACAGATCAGGCTTAAGCCCTCGATGTGGATGTATAAATAATTCTACACGGATTGGCCAAATAAAAACAACGAGCCAAAAATTAAATTCGAATAAAATCCATTTGTTTCGGGTTGGGAACTGGCCAACTGGTTATATCGCCTCATTTTAATAGCCAACTGGTTCGTCCCAGTACATAATATATTGCCATTTACTTATATATCTTGTAGGCAGACCACTTTTGACAGCGTTAACGTCGATTCTACGCCCGAAAATCTAAAATCCAAATTAAAAGTCAGACATGCAAATTTGTCAGTCTTTTATTTTTTCGTCAAACACACCCTTTGATTTACAGCGGAATGGGTGATGTTTTCTGAACAGGGTTCTTATACAATATATTTCACAAAAAAAAAGTATTTAAGGATAAATATTGTTTTATCTTTTTCTGTTACTAGTGGTATTAATGTTATTAACTTTAAGTTATAAGGTATATTTTTAACTAATTTAAAAAATCAATAAACATTGTATTCTCTTCTATTTTTCTTTAGTTCTTAATAATTTAAAGTTATATTTATATACTTGTATAAATTTGAATGTTAATATTACCAGTTAGGAGGTTCTAAGAAAAACCTTCAAACAGGAAATAAAAGGTGATTATCAAATAAATAATTAAATATTATTTGGCTAAGCAGTGACAAAACCTTAACTAAAGGGTATTCCCCTTTCGACTTTGCATACCACTCGCCATTTAATTTTGATTTAAAGAAGATATCACACACTGACGCACTTGCCGGACCCCATATATATTTATAATTTATCGAAGTCTGGACGATCGGTGGCCTGCGAGGTGTCTGTCTGATCGTAATGGTAGCCACGAACACGAACACCATTCTGCACTTGTGAAGGCACGAAAAAAAGGCCACATAATTTCCACCCGGCCATAAATTTTAGTTGTGGCATTTTTGATTTGTTGACCGGGGATCAAGACCACACATTCATTCACAGAGTTTTTGGGAGTTACCCGCTGTCTTCCGCATTGCGAGGCCTTCACTTGGACACGCTAACCCAGCAAAGAAGTGAGCTATAGTCCTGCGATATCCTTACATGTCTCGTGGTATTAAGTCGACTTGACATCGGCATTTCAGGCGATTAGCACCAACCTAATTGGATTATGCAATCCAAAGACGTCAATCAGTGTGAAGTCCCCTGCCCAATCCCCCCTGCTCTCGGTGGCATCTTCTCAACGCGAAGGTTAGATGGACCAGTTTTCTAATGAATTTCAGATAAAGTTCGGCTCGGACTAGAGCCACAATGAACGCCTAAGTATTTATTAGCTTTAATTTGAATTTTCATATAAAATAAAACCGCGAACAAAACTCGTTGAGGCGCTGCTTCTGCACGGAGATACATTTAGACATAGATGCTTCTATACGAAAACATAAAGCAACAAAAAAGGCAGCACCGCCAAACAAAATCAAGTTCACCTCGAGTGTATCAAATTTGTATAAAATTCATCAGTTAGCAAATACGTCAGCTGGTAATACAAGATTGAAACTTTGTGGTTAGCTCTCCGTGTGTCTGTGTGTGTGTGGGCATTATGCAAAGCAGAGGAAGAAGACCAACTCTAAAACATATATCTATATACCAAATATACCCAAACAGATAGATATATTTGTACCTGTTGAGCTCGGATCGGATCGATTAGCATTTTAGTGGCTGCCTTAATGATACTCCGCCATGGGAGCCATCTCAATGCAGTTCTGCGTGGCCAAACTATATTTTTATGTGGAATCGATTAACTCGAGCCATACATCACACGCTTGTTCCATCCATTCGATATGCCCCACTCAAGGCCCCCCTCGGCGATCCGAACAAGAGTTGGAAATCAACTCAGAAGTGGCCTAAACATCGCTTTGATTGACCACTTAATGGGCCAACTTCGCACTTCTTTAGCGGTATTAATTGCCCCACAGGCCAAGATTCTATCACATTTTATGGAAATTGGCCGGTAATTGATCAATTTCCTTTTTCATAGCTCCATAAACCATCAACTCTCATTACATCTTGGTAGTAAAAGTATTGCAAATATTCCATGCTTTATAGCCAAAACATAGAGGTGTATCTACTAGTTAATTACTTTTAAGCTTGACCTTTCCAAAGATTAGTATTAAAACATTTTTGTATCTACTTTAGAATGGCTTAAAGCTAAGATATTTATGAGGGGTATTAAATATTTAGAATGTTTTTAGACAATCAAAACAATTTTCTTAAATGATTATGCTAATATATGTTTATATGATACTGGAAAATTTTAGAAATAGAACTTATACCTTACAACAACACTTTCCAGCTTTAAAAACACACTAATCAAACTACTCAGAACTCATTGAAACGTAGTATAGACGAAATCCATTTTTAAAGTCTGAAGAATCCCACGCAGTTCCGTTTCGAATAACGGTACATAATCGATAAATAATTTATCGCCTTCATAAGCTTTCGATTTCGTTGGCGTTTGCGTCAGCATAACTTGCTCTGCGGCTAAAAACAAAAGTAATCTTCAACGAAATTTAATTGCCATCTTAGGATATTCACTTGCCCAGAAATCTCGTTCGCGAGACCATTTTGTGCAAATTTGTAGCGAAAATTTATAGCTTAGAATAGCCGAATATAAATTCTAAGCTGGATTTTGGTAGTTAGCGGCGGCAGAAGCAGTCGACACGATCCACCGATCATGTTCGAGCACGTATGCTAATTGAAATTCTGGTTCTCGAACTTGAATCCATGGATGAGATATTCAAGTAAGAGTTTTGCGATTAGGAAACAAATTTAGCACCCGACTTGATAAATACCCGAACTTTGATATTTGATAACCATAAAATTTCGAAGTAAGGAACACACGGGCGTTTCATAATTTACTAATCGTACTATTTATTACATAAGATCGTTTTCGAAATCGTTGTGGTTTTGTAACTTTACAATGGATGCTTAGGCTAGGTTATTTCATGTTTTTCAGGCACTCGAATCCATGATAGTTCAATGTGCTTAGACTAAATGTATACTTCTACTCCTCCTGCTCCTGATTTCCAGATTTAGAACAATGACAACGGAATTTTCTCGACTTAAGCTAAGGAACTAGATCGTAGAACTATATCTAGGGACGCCTTTCACTCTCTCTCTCTCTCTCTATTTACAGCTCGCAACTAGAAGATACACGTTACAATTAGGTGTGCCTTAGGTGCAATACGGACTACGGATTGCGGATTACAGATACAGATACGTTTGTTTTGGATGCAACAAGTCTTTTTGAATGTGAATGCTTCGTTTCCTCCTCCTATGGACTCTCGCCTCGTTTCACAGCTCCGTGGAATACTCTTCTGGATTCACGTTGAACTTCCGCCAGCAAATGTGATCCGCTGCACCACCCGCATTCGCCGGTGGTGGCAGCTTGTGTGAATTGACATTGACCACCGAGCTGGCCGAACGCTTAACATGGACGCTGGGCGGCGGCGGCTGTTGGGCGGGAGCGGCCAGGCAGCCCGTGGAGCGGCCCAGCGGATTGCGGGACATGGCCGAGGTGGAGTTATTGTTGCTCTTGCCATTGCCATAGGTGATGGACTCGTTCGAGGGCGAAATCTCTATCCGCGTGGCATGCGATCCACTGCCTCCGTCGGACAGGCGGCGTATGTAGACCACCTCGCGATGCTTCTCCACCGATTCCCTCGCCGGCGGCGGTGGTCGCATCTGCGTCTGCGGCTGAGCAGTCTGCCGCATTCGCTGGGAATACCGCGTGGGCTTCGAATCGCTCGCCTGGAAGGGCACATACTGCTGTTCCCGGGTAATTCCCGGAAACTTATCCACACTGATGTCCTCCTCGATGGCCGAGTCCCCAAACATGGAGCCACTGTAGTTGGGTGAACTGTTGCCCGGCGTCGAGGACTTCCAGTGCTGCTGATGCATGGGCGTCTGGGTTTTGATTGCCATTCTGTACGCCATACTTCGTGGCACTGGAGTACTGACCCTTCTTGATGGAGTGCGTGTAGTCCCGGGTGCCCCGGCGCCTCAGAGTGAAGTCCCTGCGTCCTGTGTCCTGGCAGACGGAGCGCCACTGCTTCCACGAATGACGGGCCAGCGGATCCGCCGGACCCCACTCCTTGGCCGGCTTGGAGGCCTCGCAGATCATGCCGAAGAAATTGTACTCCACCTGCCGGAAGATCTGCACACAGGCAATGATCACAATAACGGCTAGGACAAAAAGAATTGGCGCCCAACGTGGGAGATATTCGGCCAGCAAATCATACTGATCGTCGTCGGCACACCACCACACCAGGATGCCGGTGAGAATGGCCGGGCAGATGACCCACAGCCACATCCAGACACGAAAGATGGGACGTCCGATGGAGAACTCCAGATCGGTGTAGATGTTCTTGGCCCCGTAGATCCAGGTAATGGCAATTAGCTCGAAGACCAGAGCAGTCACCACCATGGTGCCCACCAGTCGCGAGTCCAGCACGCGGGCAATGAGGAACTTGGGCGCCGCAAACGAAATGACCGCCACCACCAGTCCAATCAGGCAGATCACATAGTTGGGGCGTCGTGGCACGAGACGGGTGGAGGTGTAGACCGCCACCGTGATGGAGACCATGGCCGCCAGGATGATGAGGGCGTAGATCAGCGAAGGAACCAGATGCTGCAACAGATGACTATCGCCCTCCCGCGAGCCATTCAAAACCCGATCATAGATGGCTGTCAGCGGCTTCAGCTCCTCCGTATTCTGGTAACCATTTGCGGAGAGATCGAACTGCACCATGAACAGGGTCACGGCAATGGCGTTGATCAGCAGATTGAAGCAGAGGTAAACCACCGAGGTTCTCACGGCGTCGCCTTTGTAAAGGAACTTTCCAGTCACCATGGGCAGGGCTCCAAAGCCGCAGTTCACCGAGAAGAGGACCTGCATGAGGGCATTGAACCAGATGTTGCTCTCGGCCAGCAAACTGGCATCGAAGCCCCAGAGTTCTGGGAAGTAGTGACGACTGAAGGAGTTGCGCACCTCCCAACCGGTGAGGGTGCAAAGCAGGACCAGGCCAACCAGTCCGAAGACAAAGATGCTGCGCCTCAGGATCTTGGCATTATGGGTGCTAAAGGATATAAAATATAAGATAAGATTATTTAAATTTTATTTAACTAATATTTAAGACTCACCACAGCATTACCACGATCCAGAGACCTATTAATCCCGCTGAGAGGAGACCAAAGTACATAGGATTTCGCCAGAAGGGAGTGAGAAAGGTCTGCTGCAGGCACTGTTGTCCACTGGTTCCCTCGAGGAGGTAGCCACTCTAAAGAATATGAAAGTATGAATATTGAATCTTTAATGGGTTTAGATATTCCTTACCTGTCTCAGCTTCACGGGTCCGGCGCACTCCCGGAATGGCAGGTCATTCGAGGCGAACATTCCGATGTAGGCCAGTGCCAGCACGGCCTGCAGGGACACCCAAATGGCCGAGAGCCAAGAGGCAAAGCGACTGATGATGCAGGCTCCTAAAAAAGATAATGATTAATAATATTATTAAATAATTAGCACATGCAATATATCTGAAATCAAGAAAGACATTCAATAAATAGGACTTAAAGGCCCAATTATATTTATATTTTATTCGGTTGTTATAAAGAATGTTCTTTCTTCTAATATAACCCCAGACCTATTCTCGTATCCCGAATCAGGCTTATAAACTTCGTTCAAAGTACGATCCTAACGCATCACCTTGCTAATCGACTACAAAAGAGCGGAAGAGGAGGAACCCAGTTAATTAAATTACTTTTGTCATTTAAATGGCAAAATTCATAAAAGCAAGAGCATTCATTTGAAAAGAGCTCAAGTGAAAACTAGTTATAAATGAGAACGAGATTTTTTAATATCTTTACATTTACATTTATAACGTATTCTGCAGCGACTGAAAAGCGATTCGCTAAACCAGATCAATTTGACCTTAAAAACACACCCAAAGCTGTTAATAAATATATGTATTGTAAATTGATTGGGGGACTACCCAAAGACGACATTGAAAAGTGTTCGAAAACCTTAATAATGATTTAGGTTTTTAAAGGTTTTAGGGTTAGGCCTTTGGTGGCTCGATAAATATGAATAAAATATTTTAATTAGCATTGTCTGTTATAGTGACCGCAACTGTATTTCCCTGTTTATTACACACTTCCTCTCTTTTCATATAGGCCACATTGTATTTCCATTCGTTTGCCGATTCCGTTAGCACTGTTTTTTATGGCTATATTGCAGTACTGATCTGATCTGCGCTACAAATCAAGCAAAAGGTGAAGGAGCAAAAGCTCATCGCTCATCTGGCTTATAGATTCTGTTCTTCGTTCATTCATGTACGCAATCGGCACGTGTCGTGAATATTTTGCCTCATTTATCGTAATTATAGGCTGCGAACCACTCACTCGTGAAACGCTACACTCAATGAGCTCGCTGGTTTCACAATGAAATGGGTACATTAAAGCCAGTCGTCGGTGGCTCGAAAAATGTTAAGTGTTGCCTTCGGCCATTTATGAGTTTTATAAGTCATAAGAAGTTAAATGTGTGGCCAGAATAGGCTTTAATGATGACTCTTTAGTTTATCACCCCAAACACTGTGTTGTCTTTGGCCAAACAAATTTATTTAATAAAGATTTGTTTAATAAAAATAGTGCTTCTAAAAACACATACGTATTCCTTTTATTATAGTGTTTAATGATCATAAATTGTTAATAAAATGCATTTAAATGGAAGTGATTTCCTAGTTAATTGCTCATAAAAAGAGTTGCTTTAGGCTAAAGTCATCACCTAATGAAACATCTAAAGAAGGCTTAATATTCTCGAAAACGTGATCTTTGAAAATATGATAAATTGCTCATACGCACTGTGGGCTTTTTTAAAAAATATCATAATATTTACTTGGGATGTCTTCCGTTTTATATAGCCTTTTATTTTAGAACTTTACAAAAAAGGGCGATACAACGAAGGCATTCCTTTGCAGCCACCAAGCATTCACGTGTTTTTGTTGGTGTTTTTATTATTACTGAGGTCTTTTCGAAGGTGTTGTGTCGTAATTTGCAGTTGTCGTTTTTGCTTTTTGCCATTATTAGTTGTTGCTCATATTGCTCGATTTTGAATTCGTTTGTTTCTCGTTACAATTGTTTTTGGTTTATACTTTTGTTCATTTAGAATTTGCCTTAAACGTCTCTATGGTTATTTTTTGTGGACGCGCCGCCGCTTTGCCCGCTTTCACCGCTCCGCAGCGCCATCTTCCATTTTTGCTCGTCCGTTTCCGTTTCCGCTTCCGTTTGCGGTCCGCTTCCGGTCCCATGGCAGAAGGGGGCGGGTCGGGCGGCGTTCAGTTTTTTTTTTGTTGTTGCTTGCTGTTGTTTTTGTAGGCGTTTTTTTATTACTAGATGTCCTTGTGGGTCGCCGCCCACACTTTTGCCCATCTACCCGCTACCGGGGGGCGTGAACTGGGGGCGTGGCGAGCGGGGGGGGGCGGGCGATGGCCGCGGGGGGCGTGGCGCGCCAGCGATTACACGAACGGGACACACACACCAATGCATTTTGAGGTTTTAATATTTTTTTGTACGATTTTTTCAGAGATTTTTTGTCGGTCGTCCTGATAACACGATGATGATTTTATCTACTAGGTCACATTTAAGTAAGTCTTCTCTTTTTTTAGTGTATTTTTTATGTGTATTTTTTAGATTTTTTTGTTTGCATTGATATACTTTTGGTCTGATATTTGTATTTTTTCTCATTTTGTCATTATCATTTTCGATTCGTGATACATATATGTCTTAGACTTTTGCGGTTGTTGATTTTGCTTTCTTGTTTATTTAGTTTGCTCCTGTGCTCCTGTGCCTTGGCAATTGCACACATGCACATCCCTTCTTTAAGGGGGCTGTGCAGGATATGCGCCTGCTGCGGCCTTGGTTTTTGCTTCAGAGAGTGAGAGAGAGATGACGAAAGTTTTGCAATCGTAACTTCGGCTACCAACGGACACAATTCGAGAGAGTGGGGATGAGACGGGATGTGTCCAACCGTCGTTGCTGCGGAATGCGCGACCGCCCGGAGGAGGTCCTTGCGATGGGGCTATTTAAGTGACGTCCTGCGGAATTTCAACTTGGGAATTATAAGCGCAAGGACTGGGGGCTGCAACTGCAGAGCTTTCCCTTGTAAGCTTCCTCCTGCAATTGGGGATGCAAAAAGCTTCTGTTGCAGCTGCAGCTTTGCGCTTTGACCCCCTTTTTATACCCCTTAGTAAGAAATGGGGGATGCTCACAGAACACCTGTTGCCCGCCAAAAAGTATGCAACCCCCGAGACTCGAACTCACCTTTGAAAATGGGCGAGGCGCGCCAGGTGTGCGCCGCCCCCTGGCCCAGGAACTGGCCCACTGAAATCTCCAGCAGAATCATGGGCAGGCCGACTAGAAACAGCAACACCACATACGGCACCAGGTACGCCGACCCGTAGCGGTCCAACTCGCGTGGGAAGCGGACCACGTTCGCGTAGCTCAGGTTCAGGCACAAACAGAGCACGAGCCCACGGAACACCGAGCATTTCGTCTGCAATAATAAAAAGAAATGGAACAAATATTTAAATTAGTTTAGACGGCATGGATTAATCATTAACCTGATAAAGTGGACTCATTTACTACACCCACTAAAGCTTTATCAACACCCGCTGAATCAAATTTAAATATGAATTAACCCTTTAATCCCCAGCTGAAATCCCCATCTTTAATCCCCATGTAAAATGTAATTTAAAGTGTCGTTTTAAAGTAATTATCAAACCGTGAGATATAAAATACAGAACAGGTTCAATAACCAAAATATTACCAAGTTCACACACATCAACTATTTTTCTGAATGGTTTTAACCCTGAACTCCCTTCGAAGAAAGTAAAAGTTTGCAATAAACCAGGTATTTAGCCGTACGAAAAATTTGCGCAGCTGATGCGAAAATACAAAAGTTACAAATTGCTGTCATATGCAAAGCCATTTGGATTTGCTTTTTGCAGGTAACCCAGACAAATAGCGGCAGTCACAGTCACAGTTGCCGCATCCGCCGACATTAAACAAAAACAAAAACTAATACAGAAACAGAAAAGATACTCCTACAGAGCGTCGCCGTCATTTCCGGTACTTCCGCTTTCGACTTGTGTAATTTCGCTATGCTTCGCTTTATTTTCATTAATTACACAATTTTGCTTTCTGTTTATTTGTCTTACGACTCATATTCCTCGAATTTCCCCCACTCCACGACCAAGCCAACTGCCTTAGTTCTTTGTGTTTGCACAGTGAGCGGCAAAAGAAAGTGCCCGCGAGAGCAGGGTGTCATGGGGGATCTTATTAGGCGGCGGTCGAAATTCGCTCATGGCTCTAATAAGTCGTCTGCAAAATGTACAGCATAAGCCCATTAGCGGTGCGCGCGCAATAACATCAGCAAGCAACTAACAACAATCCTCACTGTGCTTACTTTCAAAGCCCAAAAAGAAGTACGGAAAAAAGAGGCATAACAACTAAGAAATACCTTGGATTTTGCATATATTAAAAAATTTTGTAAATGTATTTAAGTATCTATCTTTACTTAAGTATATCTATCTATCACCCCCACTTCTTAAATTCATTTTTTCGTAACTCTATAAAATAACTATTCTCTTAAGATCTTCCATGCTTTATAACTTAAGAACTCCATACGAAATAACTCTTTATTGATGACCAAGTTATCCAAATTAATCGCTCCATCAAATTACTAATCGATCAAAATAAATCTTATCTATAATACCTTTAAATTTCACACACCTACAAAAGTTTTTGAAACCCGAAACCTTTTTCCTTAATTATCATGTTCTGTGTAAATATTTAATTCATAAATGGTTAATAAAATAATCAAATCAAATAATACTATTTAATAAAGAACTAAATTTCATAACTTCTAAACCCTTAAACACAGGGTATTTCGAATGGTTAGTCGGCGGAGCGCTTTTAAGTGAAATTCATTCAGTTAGACAAACGAACTGCCAACAGGGCACCAACAGCATCAGCATCCGAAGGTAGAGCGGTAACAACAACGTGACGCCCAGGTAAACGCAGTTAATAAAGCGAAAACCGCACGGTGAAAATGTAAACAAAAAAAATCGACCAGCCAAGCGGCGTTTGGAGTTTATGAGCGTGCAGATGACGAGCATTAAATAGGCATATATCATATATACCACATATGCCATATCATGCATGATGGCCCCCGCAAAGCCCACATAGCCCCGCGCCCTATCACTTACTTTTCGATAGTATCGGAAGGGGACATCCTCGTGCACAACATACAGATAGTCGGCTAAATACTTTGTCGTTGGTATCTCCATCTTGGGACAGACTTTGTATTGTTTAAAGTCAAAGAACTTGTCATTTTCTTGCATTTGTTTGTTGTTACATACAAATCAGGTTTTGTATTGTTATGCTTTGGATCTACTCGTTATTCGCTTTGAGCTGAAATATTAATTGCACTGCACTCGAAAATAAATAAATTACAATTAGCAAGAGCACTCGTGTGGATTTTTAAGTATTTCGTATTTATTTTTTAAACATCATGCTAATTAAAGCCTCGACTTGTTGCATTTGTGTCAAGAAAAAACAATATTTTTATGCAAGTGGAACAAGTTATCACGTGACGACAGCGAGCCAACAAAAAGCGCAGACTTTTAAAATAAATTGGCAACACCTTCAGAGCCTGGCCCTGAACCGCTTATTGAATGTCTCGCTGTCTCGTTTGTTTTTATTTCATATAAGGTATTTGTATTCTTTTTTTTTCGTCTCGTTTAACACAGATCGCCAACGCATATCAATGACAGTTGTTATGGAACTATAGTACTCGAGCTCCTTCCACATGTAATAATATATACACATATTTAGTTGTGGTTGCGGATTGCCTGGAATTCAATTACATTTCATTGCACAGAACTCATTGGTCAGGCTATTCACTTCACACTTTTGCATTTTCCCCGATTGCACTGCGATTCCTTTTTCTTTTGGCTGTTTATTTATTTTTATTTTTATTTAATTTTTTTGTAGCTTTTTAGGCCTTTTGGTCGAGCGTGTGCACTCATCACCGGTGCAGCGCCGAGTTGCGACTGCGCAGACGACGATTTTGATTGGGGGGAAAATCGAATTCGACTGCCCGAGGAGAAAGAGCCGGCCGAGAAAGATGGCCAAACAAGTTTTCCCCCGATGGGTAAACTTTTATTTGGGATTTGGGATCTCTCTCCGCTTGATTTTTCCTCTGGCTGGGTTTTCATCTGGATGAAACAACTCAGATGTTGTTTGTGGACCACACGGAGCGTGCGAGCGAGCGTACCTAACTGCTCTCTCATTAATGCAGAACTGACGACTGACGTAGTGCCGGCGGCAGCGAAATAAAAACAGCACTACCAGCAGCGGCTCAAAAGCAGCGACGGCACCAAAGCGTGGCTTTCTATGCACAGTGGCTGCGCAAAGTCAGCGCACGCCTCCGCTCCGCGCATCTGCTGAAAACGCGGAGCCGAACTCACGCCTCACTGGGTTTTCTTTGGAAATTTATGCATGCTTCTACCAGTACAGAGGGAAAAAATTAAAATACTTGGTCAAATTAATTCAAAGGGGCTTACATAACAAAAACGATTAAAGTATAACTTATTTTGAAAAAAAATTTTTATTTATAAAATTTTCTGTATTAAGAAACAATTTTTTTAGCTTTTCAGCTAACAAGTAGTTATTTCAAGGGTAATTATATTAATTACATTCTTATTTTTCCCAGTGCACTTAACTCTCCTGATTGAATTTAATCGTCACAGGTTCTTATAAAGCTCTTCAACATTCTAAGCTCGCCCACGTGGGTTAATTGAAAAAAAAGGGCAGAGAACACAAAGATGCTGGCTGAATGAGACTCTTTTTCTATTGCTTAATGATGCCCTCAGGCCGCGTTCCCATGTCTCGAAATCCATCTGCATAATTAACCTGTCTTCTGCACAGCAGGAAGTGCCCACCGCAAAGAGCAGAAACCGTCTATTAGTCTTGGCTCTTTGAGCCGCTTCTCATACTAAAATTAAATTTCATTTTAACACGTTCTTTTGGCGCAGAAAGAGAGAAGATCGAGGCAATTTCTAATTATTATGTAAGCATGCGAGCGAAACTGGCACTGGGCGCGTAATTAACAGCACTCACTGTGCGATCAAAAAAAGCAGAGGGGGAATGGGAAAAAATTATCGAAGTAGCGCCGAGCAAAATAGGTGGATGGAATGAGCGCTAATGGAAAATAAAAATATTATTACTAGCTAGAATTTATATTTGGCATCAAAGTTCTGCCTTATTGAGCGGAAGTTCCAACGAACTGCTAATAAAATCGAATCAATGAAGGCTTGACTTTCTCAACTCGATGATCACATCAAGAACTTAAACACATTTAGCATAAATAATTGCTGTATTTTGGCTTTTTGACGGTTGCGTTTGTGCCTGGCATAACGAATGAGCCTCTAAAGTGGTATAATAAATATGAGAAATATGAAAAGCCAAAAGTAAAAGCGTGGGCTGGGGCCAATAAAGTGCGAGACTTAACCCATAAATACCCGCCAAGGTTTCTCCGGGGTTTTTTCTATCGAGAATTAATTCCTCGATTGTATCAGAATGGAAAGGTCTTGTAGGCTGCACAATAATTACCTTCGGTATCGTGTGTATATCACCTGAAACTGGAGTGTGAAAATGTCCCCACAATGGCGATGGTGGTGACAAAAGGTGTCCGAAATAAGGCTATTGTGTGCAGCATATTTTCTGTTGAATAAGCGATGGATGCCTCGACAATCTCTTTGACTGAACGGATCTGGGCACTGGAGCATGGACAAGTGTACGCAGGGAGCTGTAGTTATGCTACTCGCATCTGGGCTATTGTTTTACGACTTGGATTGCGACTCGGTGGCTCTAATCAGTGGCCAGTGAAAGGAGAAGTCATGAAGCCATGCAGCTGTGTGTGATATCGTTAACTCGTCAAATGGTCTCGGTTACACCCAAACCCGGTAGCGCAGTGTAGCGTGTACGGGGATTGTGTATCTCCAACTCAAGGGAATTCTGACCGATTCTTTCGCGAGTGCTTCCCACTTTCACTGAACTCACAGACTCACCGATCTGCCGATGCAATTCTAATAGCCCCTGCAATTATTGTATTGCATTAAACCAGTTTTTGTACGTATGTGGCTGACGTCATTTCTTATTTTCATTTCTTTTTTATGGCCGAAACGTGCGACTTGCCACTGCCGAATTTGCACCGAAAGTATCTGCCACATTGTAGTTGTTGCCACTGTGTTTTGTTGAACTTGTTAATCAGCGAATTGGAAACGAAATAACATAAGAGATGAAGTAACTGAGCAGCTCGAGAAACATGCATATGGGCAGGGGTTTTCGCTTTTGGGTCTTGGGTTTTGGCCACTCGCATGAGCCGCCAAAGCAATGGAAGGGAAGTCAAAGAGGCAGAGGGGCCATCGATTGTGGTAAGCAAATTGCACATTCGAAAAGTCCCAAGTTAAAAGTAAAAATAAGCAAACAAATATGCGAACTGCCGGCAGGCATGGAATTAGCCGAGCCCAGTTGCAGATACAGTTTTAGCAGCGGGACCATGAAATTGGTCAATAAATTGTACTTTTGAATGCGAAATTTTTGGCAGCAAGTAATTAAATTAGTTTATTATTAGCTATTTTCAGAGTAAATGTTTACTTAAGCAAATTGATCAATTTATTTTCATTAACTCTTATATTTAATGTTATTCTTTGTTGGTGTAAAACAATTAAATAACTCGAATATTTAGCTATTCATGATCAAAATTTAAGAACTCTTTGTAAATTTTTTGTAACTATTAATTTTAGTAAATTTAGTCATTAAATTTGTATATATTTTTAACGTTTAAAAATTAAAGTTTACTCAGATTTTATATTTCAAATAAAATGTTTCTTCGCCAAAACAAAAGACTCAGGGCACGAACTTGTGGCTCCCAAAATTATGCAATGCTTTTATGGCAATCGATTTTCCATTTGCTGCTGAAAAAAAATCGTAGCATACCAAAAGGATGAAATGTGTAAAAACGTGCATGTCGAGATAATGTAAAAGCAAATATTGTTGACAGATCGAGTATGAAAACCGCCTATATCACACGTCTATATTCCATAGGAACGATCGGATATACTTTAAAAAAATTGCAGATATTTCACGTAGTTACCTTGATTAAGGTCTAAAGAGTCTATAGGTCTATAGGATTGTTAAACATTTGAAGATTGCCTTAGGTACAATTTTATTTAATGGTCAAAGTGATCTTTTATAAAAGATTTAAGAAGTAGGTAACTAATACAAAAACCTAACTATTTTCGTACAGAAAATACACTAATTCAGAACCCGTTTTAAGTAAACCAAGCAAAAATTATACACCTTCTAATAACTTTTTCCGTATTGAATAACAAATTAAGAAAATATTTACTTTCCCTATTGCTAATATTTTCTAGCTTTATCTTCAAACAAGCATTGTAAAGATCTAACAAAATTACTAATTCTACATTTATTCTTGCTCTTAAAAATACGAGGTCTTTAAGTATTTTTTATTAAATTAGCTGCACGCATAACGGACAGTGAACTAGTATGTGTGATGCTAATTAAGACCAATTAGCATCTGTTCGACGCATTTCATATTGCACTTGGCACTTGCACTTCCACTCGGCCGGCGAACCTGGCCTGAATGGGTGAAAATTGCGGGAAACAATGGGAGAGCCATATAGATGCGAAAGACAATGGCCAGTCGAGGCGACCAGCTGGGCCCTATCCGGTCCACTGCGATCCAGTCCGGTGCCCGCTGCCTTACTAACCCAAATAGGAGACAAATACGAGCTCACAGATGCCGAAACTAGTTTTATGATCGTGTTTATGATGTTGCCGCTGCCCGACCGAACCCTATAAACAATGACTATTAGACCAAGACACAAGGATGGTTTGTATGGGAGACCTGCATTCCCCGCCAGATTCGAGCAACAAAAGAGCTTCAGGTGTTTGAAGGTTGCCATCGCCATGCCACGCCTTCTGCTGCAACCCAGTTTGTGTAGTCTTAGGTAATCTTTATCTTGAAAACTATTCAAACACCTCAAATCGAAGATCAGCAAACAAAAGGAGAAAGGCAAACAAATCGCGCAAAAATTAACGCGTCTTAACTCAAGAAGATGTAACAGTGAGTTCGAAAAGTCTGAAGATATGGACAAGAAAAGTTGATTACATTAAACTTCACTCAAAAATATATAAATGTTTTATACTTTTTAATCAGCTAAAATCCAAACCCACCATAAAATCATAAAAAACTATTTTTCTGTGCACAAAATTATATAAATATCGCGCACTTATCACCAAAAGTCGATTACATTGGCTTAGACGAATCGATCGGTTCAAAAGCAGACAAACAAAAATGTGAATATTCTCTGGAGACCTGAGACACGTACACAAATTCATTCCGAATATTTTCAGCATTATTAAGCGGAGAAATAAACTTTACAGCGACCGTGAGTAATCAATAAACGGAATCACCGTCAGTCTCAAAAGACTCGCCTCACCTGATGATAAGCAGCAGTCAGCTGAGAATAACCCCACCATCATTCTTATTCACATTCATTCTTATTTATTCTCAAAAAATCTGAAAAGGAAGATGAATCAAATCGCTTCTGGCTAGCCCATAACATTGAACAAAAGTTGTTCAACTTGGGAGATCTTGGCTGATAACTTCTAAATAACCAAAACAGGTAGGACCACCGCTCGACTGGGAGCCAAAATAAATTGCATACACGAGCTGCGGCTTCGAAGATGAACTACTTTTTTGAAAGTTCAATCTATCGGAATGCTAAATGAATCTCAAACATGCTAATAAATAAACACACTTTAATTGCTTTGGCTAGGCCGCGAAATAAAAGGCGTGTGGAAGATTAGGTTTCTTTTGGCAGTCTTTTCATTTTAAAGAAGTATAATATGAATTAGGTTCTATAGTCTTAGTGAAAGGCTATTTATTTAAGCATCTATTTTACTTTGCTATGAAATGAGAGATAAGTTTGTTAAAACAGATAACAAATAAGTCATTTAATAAAATATGATAGTTAGAATGGAATGTTTTCGTAGAAAATATAAATATAATAAATTGTTTGTCTATACTAAGACTGTTTGTTATTATTTAATCCTCTCATCTATCTTCACCTAATAATAGTGATTATTAAATAAAAGTTTATCCTATTTAAGTGTTTAATTTCCTTATCCACTTAAAAACCAATCGATTCGTTAACTATTTTTAGTTTCCTTATAAAAACCAATCGATTCGTTAACTGATTTTATACCATACCATACCCCTTAGTTTTCCCACCATAAAACATCAATACTTTCCCCGATTTTCCCACACACCTGTCAACCACGACTCACCTGTTTGTTGGCCTCATCCTCGACGGCTGGCAGTAGTTTGGCATTGCTCGCTGTGGTGATGTTGTGGGCGGAGTGGGCCGAGGCCGAAACGGAGAAGTTCTTGGACACCGCGTCGTGATCCATGTCGTGGTAGCCGCCCTGGATTTCGCTCAGTGTGTTGTTGCTGCCGCTCAGGGTGACGATGCCGCTGGAGCTGATGCGACCGGAAGTGGCGGTGGTGCGGCCGCCACCACTGTCCACCACACTGGACACCGTGGAGATGCAGCTGCGAGTGGTTTGTGGCGAGGGCGTGACGGTGGGCAGGTCCGCCTCGCTGGCCTTGGCCCGTCGCATATTCAGCCAGGACATTCGCTGCGGCTGTCGGCGGTCCAAGGTCACGGATATCTGGCCATTTCCGGTTCCGCCGCCCGTTGGCGTTCCACCAATATAGACGCAGGTTCGCGACGTGGCTGTGGAATCGCTGCGCAGGCGGCTCGAGTTGCTGTTGTTGTGATTGTGGTTGTTATCATGGCGCGGCAGGGTTGCCATGGCGCCGGATATCTGGCGGTAGGTGGGCGTGGCCGGGGGCTGGGTGCCACTTCCGGCACGGGCTAAGCTGATCTGCTCGGCGAGGGCCTCGTCGCTGCTGCGGGGCTTGTAGCTGCTGCTCATCGATCAGATCTGCGGGATAGCGATAAGAAAAAGGAAAATGTCAGTTCAATTTGTCATTTTGAATAGACATTTCCTGAAAAAATAAGGGTACAAAAAATGGGGACCAAAAACCTATTCAGGAGTGGCCCAGAAATTCCTAAAGTCAAACTTCAACCGAAAACCAAATCACAGAATTTTTGGGATCGGTCAAGAGAAGCAATAAATTTTAAGTCGATCAAAACATATTCTATTTTTTTTTAAACTTTTATTGTAGGTAACTGAATTGCTATTTACTTCTGTATTTAACAAGGAACTATTATATACAATTTTAGTAATGTTAGGAATCATAATATTCCCGTTAAAACTACAATTTTTTTTTAAATTTAAAGATAAGGTTGTATTATTGTAAAACAATATCAAGAAAATTGTCCACCTTTTTTCTTTGTGTCGGTGAGTAAAGTTCGTGGAAATATCAGAATAACTTCAAAGCCAAACTCCGCCTGCGGAGTTCACACGAAGTCCGAAAATCATATTAAAAATACGATTATATCCGCTGTGGTTTTCTAACGAAATGATTCATATGGGAGATTCGTTGGGGTTTTGTTTTGGGCCTGTTTGGATGTTTGGACAACGGATTTGCATGCGAATCGAATTGGAGAGGAAGAACAATGTCTGTCCGTTGAACGGAAAGTGAAAAGTCGCCACAATTCGCAGCTCTGCGAAAGTGAAAGCTCTTTAGCCATTCTACCGCATACTGATGGCCATATTATGCTATGGATTATGACATTGTTCCCGTAGATTCTGCGATCGCCTTTTGTCAGGCCATTCAGCACAAATCAGAGCAAATCACTTCATTTGTGCTCTAGACAGGTGACTCTTTAGCCTGCCGAAATTTCACTTGACTGGTTATTTTTATCAGACACTGACAGAGAAAACATCTCGACAGAAAGTTGACAACAATGAGAGTTGAAACAAAGTCGTAAAAACAACTGTTCCAATATGAACATGGCAATAAAAAAAAATATGCATGAAAACAAAATAAAGCGATATCAGTTGCTTGGGTCTCTGTTTCCCAACTTATTTTATTGACCTGAAAATGAGTTTATCGTGCTGAAAGTATTTTTAGCGTCCATTGCCATTGCTTAACCCATTGGTTGGCAAGTTTAAATTTGATAATAAATAAGTACTTAATACTTTTTAAATTAAGATTTATTAGTTGATAAAGAAAACTTGATTTTATAGCTCAAAATTATAAAAAGTTCATTATAGCCTATATCCAGATAAGGTTTTATTAAGCATTTGGATATCAATGAAACAGAAATTAATCAAACTGGTTTGAATGGTTTAATATTCTTACTGAGCAAATCTATTTACATTTTTTAAAGCCCTACCCTTTAAAGGTCAATAAAAACCCTTTTAAAAAAAAAAAAATTTTTAAAAGAAATTTAAAAAAAAAAAAAAAAAAAAAAAAAAAAAAGGGGGTTTTTTAAAAAAAAAAAAAAAATATTAAAAAAAAAATTATTTTTTAAAAAAAAAAAAAAAAAAAAAAAAAAAAAAAAAAAAAAAAAAAAAAAAAAAAAAAAAAAAAAAAAAAAAAAAAAAAATAAAAAAAAAAAAAAAAAAAAAAAAAAAAAAAAAAAAAAAAAAAAAAAAAAAAAAAAAAAAAAAAAAAAAATAAATAAAATAAAAAAAAAAAAAAAAAATTAAAAAAAAAAAAAAAAAAAAAAAAAAAAAAAAAAAAAAAAAAAAAAAAAAAAAAAAAAAAAAAAAAAAAAAAAAAAAAAAAAAAAAAAAAAAAAAAAAAAAAAAAAAAAATAAAAAAAAAAAAAAAAAAAAATTTTTTAAAAAAAAATTTAATAAAAAAAAAAAAAAAAAAAAAAATAAAAAAAAAATTAAAAAAAAAAAAAATTAAAAAAAAAAAAAAAAATTAAAAAAAAAAAAAAAAAATAAAAAAAAAAAAAAAAAAAAAAAAAAATTTTAAAAAAAAAAAAAAAAATTTAAAATTTTTTTTTAAAAAAAAAAAAAAAATAAAAAAATTTTTTAAAAAAAAAAAAAAAAAAAAAAAAAAAAAAAAAAAAAAAAAAAAAATAAAAAAAAAAAAAAAAAAAAAAAAAAAAAAAAAAAAATAAAAAAAAAAAAAAAAAAAAAAAAAAAAAAAAAAAAAAAAAAAAAAAAAAAAAAAAAAAAAAAAAAAAAAAAAAAAAAAAAAAAAAAAAAAAAAAAAAAAAAAAAAAAAAAAAAAAAAAAAAAAAAAAAAAAAAAAAAAAAAAAAAAAAAAAAAAAAAAAAAAAAAAAAAAAAAAAAAAAAAAAAAAAAAAAAAAAAAAAAAAAAAAAAAAAAAAAAAAAAAAAAATAAAAAAAAATAAAAAAAAAAAAAAAAAAATAAAAATATAATTATATTTTTAAAAAAAAAAAAAAATAAAAAAAAAAAAAAAAAAAAAAAAATAAAAAAAAAAAAAAAAAAAAAAAAAAAAAAAAAAAAAAAAAAAAAAAAAATATAAAAACGTATTAAATAAAAATTTTTTTTTTATTTTTCTTTTTTTTTTTTTTTTTTAAAGGTCAATAAAATCCCTGTTGATATCAAATAAATCTGTCAATGTATTTTTAAAAGAAAGATAAAGAAAAGACTTAAATACGTTCATAATCATGCCAGCTACCGTCTTCGAACCTTGGCAACACAAATTAAGCAAATATATGCGGCTAATAATCATTAATTAAGCCAAGTGCTCAAATATGTTCAACGATTGGTGTTTATATATTTTTTTTGCACCGCTGGATACAATTCAAATGGCACGATGACTCAACGCGAACATAACATTTCGATTATTAAGGTTGTGTCATTATATTAATGACTGCTCTCATCTTATCGGCACAATGGCACACATTTATCTTGGCAACAGCAGCAGCCTCTTATCAAAATCACCTGAAATGCATATTTACAAATAATTATGCATGCTTGCATAAATGAGCAAAAAAGGTTCGGCGAAAAAAAGGAGAGAGAAGAAAACAAAATCAACTTTAAACATGCGATTGAGTTCGGTGACCAGTAAAACAGTCCAAAAGAGGCCGTATCTGAATCTTGCCCGAGTATTTATACACATTTTCGTTTCAGGCCGGTAAGTCATAAAATAAAAGAAGGTGGGAATCTGAGGTGTTCGACCCAAGGGATATCCTATATAAAAAAATTAAGGAAAGGTCCCTTATCATTCATGGTAAAAATTCAAAAAAGGATAATATTAAAAATGCACAAAATATTCCAATAATTGCCTAATATTTGAAAAATATTTTTTAAAAAATAATATTTTATATGTAAGTTTATCTCTCAGAAAGTGAGTTTAATTTTTTCCTGGTCTTACACCACTTAATAAATATTTTTATCTCTAACGGACTGCAAAATACAGCTAAGGCCCCCAAAACTGTATTTTCCTGAAAGTCCCTTTTTGCGGCTCAAATTACTTCGGCCAGCCGATGTTTATCCACAAACAGGCATTAATGAGTACCGGGTATCGAAGTGTTTACGGCGTCTTCGGCAAAATGAAGGCACCAAAGTGGATGACGGCGTCGTCTCCGCTTGTTTATTATTGAACAGCATTTTGCAAACAAATGTGGCGCCGTAGAGGCAGAGATTTGCATGTTGCAGATACCGATACAGATACTGATACAAAATTCGGAGAGATGTGAATGGCTTCAGATACTTTGGTGGCCCACGCACACAGGGGCAAACAGATCGCAGACACAGATACAAAGTGGGAGGAGACGGGGCGGAACCAAAAGCGGGATCGCTCGACCGTTGGGCGAAGACTCGGAAACCCAGTCCAGCGGGACGAAGCCAAGGGATCCGGCGATCCGGCGATGCATCAAGTTACAAGTTATTAACAGGTACGAGTGCGAGTACAAGTGTTGCACTCGAACCGAACGGCGACAAGTGCGGGAGGGGAGTTGGGCTTGTGGAAAAGTATGACACTTGATAAAGGTTCTGACGAGGGCAGCATATAGAGTGGCACTATGGTACTATATATAGAAATGCTGGCACCAACTTCCACTTCAGCACCACCACCACACCACCACCACATAGAACTCAGCCGGGCGTAACCACAACGCCAGACAATTTGCCACTGACCAAAGCCAACGCGAACATTAACTTGCCATTTAGCCCGTACTTATGGCCCGGAGAACCCAAACAAACCGCACAGAACCCCAGATCCATCCACCTTTGGTAATAAAGTTTTTTAGCTGAAATTATCAAGGGTTCACTTCCAAGGAAAGCCCAAGAATCAACTGCTTTGGCAGTCATTATTTTTAATGGAAAAGCAAATGGATGGCTGAAGCTGACGGTACACAAAAAGCTTCTCTTATGCGAGGTGTACGAAACAAAGAAACCCGCAAGATCAATCAATTGTTGAAGGTCAAAGTTGAAGGGTTTTCTTATAGGCAAATGAATATGATACGTTCTTAATGGGTTTTAATGGGTCTATAATGATATTGTGATAAGGTTGGTAATAAAGATACAAATCTTCCACACCTCTTATCAAATGTTTGGCTTTCCCACGAGGATTATTGTTTTTATGATCTTTTAATGACTTTAAAAAAAAACTGATGTGAGACAATAACCGATTTGACGTTATCTAGTATCAATTATCTTCTTCCTCTCTTTTTCGAAGTAAGAGAATCTCTTTTTGGTAAAAGCGATATGCGTATGCAATACCAGAAATTTACTATGCGCATATCGATTTGATTTGTGAGTGCCATTTTAAGAATGAACTTTGCCAGCCCTGTTTTTTCTTTCTGTGTGACAACCTTTAACTTTAATAGCATTCCCCTTGGATTACTATCAATTAAACGGCGTACTGTGATTAATATCCAACCCAATTGTAACGAGCACACGTGGTTGACCTTTGGCAGGGCGAAAGTCCAAACTGCCAGCGATTCGAATGCCCATTACAAGTCTGAACCTGAACCTGGACACAAATGTCACAAGTGGCAGGCAAACAACGGGGTAATTTCCATTTACAATCCGGCGGCACTAATTA